CAACCCCAGCTCACCACGGTCTCAGGAATGAATCCTCATGTGGTACTCGTTACATGTTTCGGTACGGATACAGGAGACAGTGAGGTTAATTTAGCATGAACACAGATACTGCAACCACAATCAAGTATGACGAAACTGAACTTCACTTCATTTGAGGCGTTTCCTTTGCCATCTGCCAGGATACCCAAGCTACGCAAAGTCGCGACGAGTCACGATGTGGCATCTGTAAGGGATGACCCAAGACGATATTTTCTAGACAACACGTGGACGAGTCTCATCTCAGATGTGACCGTGCGCGCTTTCTCGACAATTCTGGGACTTCATAAGTTCATCAACGATAGCGACTGTCACAATTAAACCACGCAGTACTTTCACTATGGTCCATGGAAAAACTCTCAAATTGACCGAGCATCAGTATTCATGCGAAACAAGTTCAAGTTTACGGACCGACTTGTGACTTTATTAATTAAATGTCGATTGCCTTTGCAGCATGCAACATCCCCTCCTGGTCTCAATTGGATTCAATCAATTGTGAATCATGCCAAGGTGAGGTTTTCAACGAACAAAAAGGTCTGTCTCTGGTTAAGAGACTTGAGGGCTAGCTACGAGTATGGAAGCTCAGCTTGCTCAAGGTCTTCCATGGAGGAGAGAATTGAACATTTGCTGGAGTGAATGATATTCACGCCCTAACCAGAATCAAGTAGCCGCAAAGCGTCGCGAGGCAACTGTCTAAGAGACTACTTAGCGAATGACAGTTGACTCATGTCGAGTGTTTTTCCGCGCCGTTGAGTTCTTTTTCCAAGGAACACTGAGCCCGGAGACCAAGAATTCCAAAGTTCGAATCTGATAGAAATTCCTCCAAAAGAATTTTCTCGATACAAGCTACAGTAGGAGAAAAGGTCTATAATTCCGTCAAACTGCTAGCTTCGCTGGTTCCTTGTGTTCAACTGACTGTTGTTGCTCAATCTTCACCGGTAAGACTCAGCCTCGGTAACTCAGTGTTGTCAGCCCTCCCAGTCCCACTTTCTGTCTACCGTCACCACCCATGTCAAAACTCCACCCCACACATCGTGAAATCATCAAAAACTTCCTTCCGGTCTTCGCAATCCAACGAGTTCGCCACTCAACCCTCATTCGCCCTGATGGTCTAGCGGTATGATTCTCCCTTAGGGTGCATCTTCGGATACAACCATCTGGGAGAGGTCCCAGGTTCGAATCCTGGTTAGGGCCCAATCCTTTTGTTATTCTTGTCATCATGACTTTGAGAGTTATCTTTTTGCAATTTTCTTCTCTTAGATAGACTTCGTGTTCCTTATGACTCACCTTTAGAGGCCCTGACAATAGATTGACACTGATTATACACACTTCTGCCCCTAGGTTGAAGACTCGCTAAACGGGAGTTGGCTCAGAGAGTTAAAACGTCAAGTAGGTAGATAGAAGCTGCTAAGTAGAAAGATTCAATGACTAGAATGTCAAGGTGCTTGATGATCATTAACTTTCTCTCAGCGCAAATGTGCAGAATTTATACACAATAATCAGAGGTGGTAAGGCGTTAGACCTTGAAAAGCCAACCTGCAATGGCCACGGCCAGCTCGTAGTCTACATTGAGAGCCTTAACATTCTACGGCCGAACACCGGCCTGACTAACGTTGGGAAGCCGGCGTTTGGGAATATCAATAAGCGATAAGTCGCAGAGTTGGAGGCATTGACAATTGAAGAGGCCGCCTCTTGGGAAATCGAAACAAATAGGCACTCGAGGCAGGTAGCATCAAAGTTGACTATGTTTGCAGACATGTCGATCGAAAAGTCACCAATAGGCAAGAACCTCGACTAGTAGCAACATGGCATTAATCAAGTCAAGAAGTTGACATGCGCATCTGGGAGAAACAAAGACACTAGGCTCAGTAGATATCAGACTTCTTGCTGGATATTTTCTACAAACTTACCATTGTCATGAGAAACGGTTCAATTTTCATACATCGGGGCACACCGTGGTATGCGTCTACCCCGCCTGCTGTACGCGGCTCAACTCGGAAACTGTGGTAAACAAGGCGTAATTGCTGGCCGGCAATCACGGATTCGTTTTTGTACGACAGAAACCCACTGACGCACCGGTGACCTGGCTGTCAAACACGAGAATGAAATGCTTCGGTGACTGGTACGTCGATGTGACAATGTCTTGCTCGGCGCACTCAATGTGGAGAGTGGTTCGGGCCGTTCTCCGCATATGAGCCCTCAAACGGGATACGGTTCGCTGGCAGTGTCGAACTGCATGAGTGAATCTTCCACATGAAGTTCAGATGAACGCTCACTGGGCGGCTCTGCCTTTCCAATGGCGTCGCGGTTATATTCATCCCGCCATCCAAGCCCGATCTTATGCGTTCAACCGGAGGCTTCTTGGCCTGCGGATGACATCTTCCATCACAGTCGTAAACCCCGCTCCGTATATCCCTACCTCAGACGACGAGAATCGACCCTCTATCCAAACACTCCACTGTGCCAAACGCATCATCGTTGTAATTCTATGTGAAGCAAGGCTCCGACAACAGCATTTCACGCACCTGAGTCGACACAATGGTTCAGCCTATCGAGGTAGATGCCCTCGTCGTAGGGGCGGGATTCGGCGGTATCTACGCAACGTATCGTCTATCCCGCATGCAACCGCGTATGAAAGTCCAAACCGTCGAAATGGCCAGCGACGTCGGAGGCACATGGTACTGGAACAGATATCCCGGCGCTATGAGCGATACAGAAAGCTACCTGTATCGCTATTCTTGGGACAAGGACGACCTGCAAACGTACCCCTGGTCGCAACACTACGTCTACCAGCCGGAGATCCTGAAATATCTCCAACATGTTGTAAAGAAGCATGACTTGAGAAAGTGCATGGTCTTCAACTGTCAGATGGAGTCGGCGATGTGGGACGACAGTCTACGTCGCTGGCGGATTGAGTGCTCCTCTATCGGGACCAGCTGCGAGAGGACCGTGTATCATGCTCGATATCTCGTCAACTCGCTTGGTGTGCTTTCCAAGGCGAATTATCCAGACATTCCTGGCTTGAAAGACTACCAGGGCATCACGTGTCATACAGCAAGGTGGGATGACAGCATCGAGCTGAAGGGAAAGAAAGTCGGCATCATCGGCAGCGGTTCGACCGGCGTCCAGGTCATGACGGCAATCGTGCCCATCGTGGGCAATCTCACCCTATTCCAACGACGGGCGCAATACTCGGTGCCCAGCGGCCAGGGGCCAGTCGACCCCAACTATCGCGATAAGATCAACGCAGACTACGACAAGATCTGGGACAACGTCTGGTCCTCGAGAATGGGATTCGGTGTCCCAGAAGTAACCCGTAAGGCGACGGACGCCACGCCCGAAGAAAGGAAACAGGTCTTTGAGGAGATATGGTCCCAGGGCAACGGGTTCCGCTTCATGTTCAGCGCCTTTGGCGATATCGTCACCAACGAAGAAGCCAACGAGGCGGCCTGCGACTTCATACGCGGCAAAATCGATGAGATTGTCAAGGACCCTTGTAAGGCGCAGATCTTGAAGCCCCGCGAGGCGTATGCAAGACGTCCGCTCTGCGACTTTGGGTACTACCAAATCTTCAACCGCGATAACGTCGATGTAGTGGACCTCCAGGCCAATGGCATCAGTCGTTTGATCCCTCAAGGCGTTGAGCTGGCTGACGGGACCGTCCACGAGGTCGATGTGCTCATCTTTGCTACGGGATTCGAGGCAGTCGATGGCAGCTACACGAGAATCCGAATCACAGGTCGAAACGGAACGTTGAAAGACCACTGGGGTGATGGATCTACGACCTTTGGCGCGGTTGCCTGCGCTGGATTTCCCAACATGTTTCTCATCTCTGGACCGCAGAGCCCTTTTGCTAATTTCCCTCCCGTCGTGGAGTGTGAGGTCAACTTCATCATGTCGATTATACAGCATGCCGAGGGTCCGCTAGTAAAAGCAAAGCCAACAGAAGACGAGGAAGGTAGTAGCTCGGGCAAAGAAGCGATCCTAAGTCCACGGAAGCCGATGATCATGGAGGTAAAGGCGCAAGCCGAGTCAGACTGGGTAGAGCTGTGCAACAGCATGCTTAAGGGGTCCCTATTTGCCAAAATTCCGAGTTGGATTTTGAGCCAGAATATTCCCGGGAAGAAGACCAACACCAACTTTTTCTTTGGCGGGTTGCGGCCGTACCTGCAGTTTGTTGATGAGGAGATATCTGCAGGGTTTCCAGGATTTCACCAGTCAGCAGCACATGGGGACGTCGTCGCCCATTTGTGAGTTAACGTGAGGCTGTTGAGAAGTCTCTTCAGCTCAGGAATGGCAAGGTCGTTGTGAGGTCTCCATGCAGAAATATATCTATATATCTATATTTGCTATCACATCGTTCCACATGCCACGGCACCAGTACGTTCGCACTCGTCGAGAACGGCGGAATGGCCTCGTGAGTAACCGCCTAAGACCATAGTAACATTTACAGATGAGTCATAACAAATGCTATGCAAGTGGCGGAGAATTGGCAAGCAAGCAAGAGGTCGCCTGGCCCAGGTCTTCACGTTCGTTCCCTGTCGTATTCTTCAACACGATCATCGAGACGAGCGATGGTGTGTAAGGAAAGGGGTCAATCATAAACACTTGAGATAGTTATTGCGGGTTGGCTTTGTGGCCATGTGTGATGATACGGGCCGGACCTTTCTACCATTTGCCCTGGTTATACAAGTACAACCAAGCTACAAGTCAGGGACTTGTCGTTACGTATCTTTCGTGAACAAGGCTTGTTCAGAAAAATGGAACGTACCTATTATAGTCTCATTGGCAGGTATGCTGGATGCCATCATTGTCCACATCAGAGGGCCAGCCCTTCACTTTTGAGCCGCTTTGATTAGAGGACAATACATCATGAACACTGATGAAAGAATACCTAGGTATATCAAACACCCCTTCTTCATCCGCGTGATCATCATTGGTCTCTCAGTGTCTCTGATTGACTTGGTATTTTCCACTCGCTTTCATACCCTTTCCAATCAGGTTCGGTGGATCTTCTCCGAACGATCGATTCCGCCTTGAAGCCATACTCAAAAGATACATCAATTATACATGCTATGAGGGGACTACTCACATCTCTCCCTCACCAAAGCCCAGGACTTGCGCATCCCAGTCCCCATAGACTCTTCATCAACCTCCTCAGCCGTAGCCCAACGATGCCTCACATGCGACGAGACGAGGTCTTCAGATCCGTCTACCTCGAAGAGGTGCACATGCATCGTAAGCTTCAGATGAGAAAACAGCCACGGCACGCTACCCAACTCCCCGGCATGTCTCAGCCTCGGCTTCTTCTTGTCCCCAGTAGCGATGAGTCCCGAGACGTACCCCTGAGCGTCCTTCTTCTGGGAGGTCGCAGTGTAGACGCCAGCAGACGGCAGTGTGTGGCTGGGCAACTCCCACAGCCCGGCAAGGAGTCCCTTCTCCGGGCGTCGGTGTATCAGGAAACGGCCATCATCGCCGCGCCGGATCGCGCAGACGAGGGCTTCTTCCTCTCTGACTGCCTTCTTGACCACTTTGAGTGGGAACTTTCGAGCGTGTTCTGCGACGATCTCTAGCGTTCTAGCATCAATCTGGGCTGGCTTGGGCTGCTCTTTCTCCTCTTCTTCCTTCTTCTTTGCCGTCTTTGAGGTGAAGAAGGCGGATAATGTCGCCTGCTTTGGCCCCGATTGCGTCTTGGCGCCCTTCTTAGTCCCCTTTGCCGGCTTCCGCTTGAGCGTATCAGCTTCAGAGTCTTCTTCTGAGAGCGTGGTCTCGTCTGCGGCGGCTTCTTCAAAGGGCTCGCACACCGAACAGAGGTCCTCAATATCCTCAATCTTTTCAACCGCCTTCCTCGACTTCTTGGCTGCAATTTGCAGACCCTCTGCGTACGCGCGGCATGTGGAGGTGACGGGGCACTCGCCGCAGTTCGGCTTCGGCGTGCAGACGGTGCTCCCAAGTTCCATCAACGCCTGGCCCCATCGTCCAGGACGGTCGCTAAGCGGCGCTTTCTCAGCAAGCTCTGCACCATCCTCGTTGGGTCCGTCCTTTGCTACGGCCTTGACAAGCGCATCTGCGGCTGCCCAGAGGAGGTCAATGACAGCCTTATCCGTCTTCGCGTTCCCATACAACCCCAGCTGCCTGCTCAACACGCGAAGCACATTCCCATCAACCATGGGCGCCGCCTCGCCAAACACAATAGCAGCAACAGCACCGGCCGTGTACCGCCCCACGCCGGGAACTTTTGCCTCGAGCTCGGCCGTGTCGGAGGGCATCAGACCGCGCCAAGCCGGGTCCGCGACGACCAGCTTCGCCGCCTCGTAGATCCTCGTGGCGCGGCTGTAGTAGCCCAGCCCGCGCCAGGCGCTCAGCACGTCTTCAGGTTCGGCGGCCGCGAGGTCCTGGATGGTGGGCCAGCGGGCCATCCATCTGTTCCAGTAGTCGATTACTACGGCGACGCGGGTCTGCTGGAGCATGATTTCGCTGATCCAGACTTCATAGGCGCGCTTTTCGAGGGCGCTGCGGAGGTCGGCGGCGTCGTTTGGCAAGGTTTTTGCAGGGTCGATCCAGGGCTTGCGCCATGGCATGCCGCGGGTTGTGCTGATGGAGTCGAACCAGCTCAGGAGAGCGTCACGCCCGCGCCGGCCTGGTTGGCCGTCTAGGAGGAGAGGACGGTGGTAGGAAGACGCGTGCGTCCTTGATGCCGCAGGCGAGCAGAAGGCATCGTGCGTTGCCGACTGCTGCTGTAGTGGACCAAAGAGTCTCGCATGGAGCTTCGCAGTGTCTGCTTTTCGGGCCTTTGGGTTCTTCTCGATTTTGCGCCTCTTTAGCGGTGGCTCGGTAATGTCCTTTACATCGTCGTTGTCGTCTTGGAGATTTGGGTTGAAGTCTTCCTCCGACGCGTCTTTTGATGCTGGTGGTGATACAGGCGCAGACTTTCTGGTTGCTACCGAGCGTGATCTAGACGCCGGCTTCTTGATTTCAACATCTGGCTCGCTGTCGGCTTGCGCCAAAATCTTCTTGGCTGCTGCAAGTGAGCTTTGTCGACGGACTAGGCGACGTTGGGTCATGGTGATGGTTGGGAGACGCGACGAGAAGACGCGTCTGGGAGTAAAGTGGTTCAAACTTCACCTCAGGTCGCACATTTGGCGGGTAAACACCAAATAATTAGCCCCGATTCAGGGACGCGGTCACTGAAATCCAGATCGCAGCGGACGATCCCAGGCCCTGAAGCCCCTTGGCACAGACCACTACAACGCCCAAGCATGCACGCAATGAGCGTGCAGATTTTATTGCTTGCGAGCAATGGCCAACCCGTTCTCTTCAACATCTACAGCTTCATAAAGATCCGACTTCAGACCCAGCACAAACAGCGAAAGGGGACAGCGAAGAGTTGAATATTCAGGCCCTATCAGGATTCGAACCTGGGCTTGACTACGAAAGGGCACAATCATGTTGTGATCAGAATCCAGCGTCTTAATCTGCTAGACTGCAGGACAGGCCAGGCCACACGATGATTTCCAATGACGATGCCGTCGAATCTCACCGCCCATGGAAGCTTACCGCCACTCCCTGTACCATCAGTGAGGGCATAGGACGACCCCTCGAGAATTCGGTCATGTGAAACATCGGTCTAGAAAGCTTGAAGAACAGTACTGTCTTGTGTATATTCTTCAATGGCTCGTGATGCCTTGGTATTGGACTCCCGAGCTGCATCTGCCAGACGAACCGACCATCGTGCCTCACTCCGTCCAGCCATCGCCGGCGCAGGTCATCCAGTTTACTCCAACGAGCTTCAGGCCATGCTTTTCGGCAAATTCAGCAGGCTTCCATGAACGCCTCTGCACGAACTCCTCTCCGCCAACATCCTCCTTCTTCAGATCCAGTCCCTGAGGTTCCCGGTAGAGCAGGAAGAGGTACCTGTGCGGCTTCGAGCTAAGAAAGAAGACAGAGTCAGTAAATCTTCTTGAATAGGTTGCTCAAGCTATTCAGATCGTGGCTAGGTAAGTCCCGCAGATGGAGGCTCAACTCACTCATCCTTGGGTCCGGGTCCGAGAAACTCGGTCAACGCCGGCTTCGTCTGCGCGACAACCGCGCCTCCGCTAAGCGGCTGAAGCCCGGGGAGAACCCAATGGCGCCAGAACGCAAACTGCGGGTTGTCCGGGGTGGGTGCGTCCGGGTCCGTCAGGAAGAGCGTGTACGAGGCACCCGTGTCAGCGCCCTCTTCGGCCGCGAACGAGATGCTGGGCGCGAGCTTGCACTCGCCTGCGCGGAAGAAGTTGCCCACATCCAGAGCCTTGTCCGCGAACGAGACCTCCAGCTTAGTCGTCGGTTGGAAGCCCTCTGGTATCAGTGCCGCCGCCGAGCCCGGGACGAGCTTGGCTTGCTCGAGCGTGCTAGTGAGCTTTTGTGAGTGGTCGGAGAGTGACATATCTATAGCAGGAGGAAGAGAAGCGATGGATGAGAGGGTCAGAGGGACAATCGAAGGTCAAATTGCCTGGCGAGGAGGGTGGTTTCGCATTCTTGAAGGGCATTTTGAATGATCGCTTACGGGCGATGTTCACCCGAGGCCAAAATGCGCGATGACCTACGCGGGGTTGAGCGTGGGATGAGGGGAATCGACGCCAGTGGTGGAAAATTGGTGGCGTAGCTGCACGAAGGGTCTTGGCAGATGTAGAGGTTCTCCTTGTTACCTGAGTTCGAGTCTGATCTCCGGACGAGAAAAAGAGGACTGACTAGAGACAACTCTGCTACGCTGAAGGCTAGATAGTTGCATCACTTACCTTATAACGAGAAAACGATTGAACTGATGAGATTCATCCCAGAAACTTGTCGTGGAGATAGATCATTACGGGTGATAACATGATCACAGCATTTCAGCCTTTTGCTCGTTCTATGGTCGGCCCATGAAAACATTGGGTTTGCTTGACAACCTTTAGTCCAATAAGAAAGCCTGCAGCTTCATTCCAGCCAAACTCAATTCATATCATTTGGTGATCGAAGTTTGGTACTTGCTGTCAGATGAAATCCGGCAATTTCCTATAAGATAATGTGAGGATCTAGAGCATTTGCACCTGATTCGAAGGGTGAAATTGCTTTTCTCCCTCTCTCTCTCTCTCTCTCTCTCTCCCTCTTTCGCGATCTCGCGCGCGCACAACCCACCTAAACTGCGCCGCGAGCAGCCCGCTTTCAACAAAGGTGCTCAGTCGCGCGCAAACCTCCAACCAATCATATCTCAAATCCCCGATGGCACAATTGGCTAGCGCGTCAGACTGTTAATCTGGAGGTTGGTGGTTCGAGCCCACCTCGGGGAGTTGTAGCGGTTAGACCCCGCCTTGCCATGAGATTGTTATCTTTTGCCCTTTCCGTCTTCTTTATTTCCTTTTTTAATCTCAGGATTATCTCCGGGAAGTTGAAATACCAAGCAACGTTTCTCTTGCATCAAACTAGTGGACTATGACCACAGGCCGGCTCTGTCCTCCATCGGGACTATGAATCTCCGCTTTCTCTTTTTAAACTTCGCGGCACTGTACCTAGATGCTTCTCGTAGAAATATCCGATCTACCATGTCCTGAGTGTGATACCAAGCGTCCATTCAAGTAAATCAAGCAGCCTCACTCAAGAAAGATTTGCGCGAAAACCTGTTTTCGGAAGACTTTAAACTCGTTCCTGGCAGCTTCTACGGGCCATAGAAAAGATGTCTTGCACGCTGAACCTGGAACTATAACTAACCGAGCTATAGTCAGGCCGGTGATAGGCTGCATGCGTAGATTGACTGTTACTTGCCATAGATATATGTGATCAGCGAGCCCGAGTCCGAGCAGAACCAGAGGTGTATTCCCCAAGGCATAGACGATCATGAGGGGTCGGCCGGTCGAGCTGCGTAATCGCTTTGGCCCCACGACAGCTTGAGCGAGTTCTATGGACCATGGTTGGAAAATATGAGACGAAAACAAGGTAGTTAATCGTTCCGAGTGTTCCGCTCCAGGCCGAAGTAGTTGGCAATGCTAGAATGCATCTCGCGAATACTCGCATTTACTTCCCGTCCGAGGATGGGATGCTCGGAGAGGCTTTCTTCGAGCGCCCGCCAGCTAGCGCCTTGGATGTCAGTCAAGTTGACATGATGATGCTCTTAAAACCGAGGAACAGGCGAGAACTTGCGAAGTGCGATATGATAAGCTTTGATCGAGAACGGACAAAGTTCGGGGGGCCGGCTGGCAATTCAAGGCTGCTTGCGCCTGATGTTGAGATGATATTTCTCTGCGCTGAGTAAGGTCGTAGAAGCTTGTTGCTGTAGAGTGAGCCCGCTTCCCAGGCCACGCTAGACGTGGTGATGTATGAGAAATCTCATGGCGAAGAAGAATATGGCTTCTAGGGGCAAGAGCTGAGCATTTGTAGTCCTTCAAGCCTGCGCGGCTGCTTTGGCCAAGCAACTTGGCGTTAAGAGCATCATCTTGGCGCTATGAATGCTCAACTTGGCGTCGATGGCTTGGAGGTAGAGGCTGTCAGGACCCGGGAAGGCGGTTCACGGCATTACAGATTTTCATTCTCGGGAGACATCTGCAGTGCAACTGTATCCCACCTCCCCACCTCCCACGCTTGCCCGCCGTGGGGCCGGCATCTCGGTCCCACGCATCACAGATTCACAGTCAAGTCAGGTTCTCCGACCTCAAACTTCACCATGAGTAAGGACCGACGATCGTCCACGCGTCTCTCAGCTCCCCATGTCCACAGCACACCGTTGAATCAAGGTTTGATCTAGGTACATGCTGCCCCTCAGCAGTCAACCCGATTTTAATTTCCGAGCCCCCGTGATTGGAAGCATGCGCTCTTGACTACCTACATGGACCTTGTGCCTCTAGTGCTCTCGAGTCGGAACTCATGACGGTAACTATCTCGCTTCCAAACTCTGTCCCCGACTCCACCATCAACGATCATATGCTGCTCGACATGCCTATCCCACGGGACCACGAAAGCGACGCCGAGGCGGATTCTCCATCTCGTCGACCGTGGCAGGCAACTCCGACCGGCATCCCGCGCAGCCCCTCGTCGTCCTCGTCGTCGGCGGAACCTTCTTTAGGATTCTTCTGGCTTGGGAAAGAGAGGCAACGCGGGGTAGCTCTGTTGAGTAGCTGGCGAGACTGTCCGAAGAACAACAAGGCGCTCCGAGCTCCCTCGGGCCTGTTACGCCCAACTTACACTCGCACTTTGGAGGATCCTCGGGCCTGGATGTCCCATTCCAGTGTCTGTGAGTTCGGGAATGTCAGTTATGATCGACACTATCCGTCCTGACGCCCTGGATGGGCTCCTTTGATTTGGAGCTATCATCCTGGAGCAGCTTGGTTGGGCAGATTGGGTTCCCATCGCACGGTCTTGCGCTTCCAGCTGGGACATCAACCCGTCTACTGGTGGACCAAAGGAACGAGCACGATCCCCCAAATTCTAGGAGCTATTTTTCTGGGAAACTTCCGGACGCAATTCTTGTCCAGATGTCCGCACAGCTCGGGGCAGAATCTCTGTAGTCTACTTCCTCGGATACCGAAGCTCACCAGACTGCGGCCACCAACATGCAGTTGAGGCTACCATGCACACGCGTGAGCGCCCACCCACACCCACGTGTAAGAAGCTTTCGCCGTGCCGGGACAATGATCTGCAGAGGTTTCGTCATCCTGGAACCCTGGCTCAGAAATGTCAACTCAACAACATGGAAATGTCATTGACGAACGACATGCGATATGAAACAGTGTACTTCGGATCACTTAGATGAGTTGGTGGAGACGGACGCGTTTACGTTTGCCGGTGCGGCTTTTTCTACAGCTTACAATTGAATCTTCTTCAAGCTCGTCTTTGCATGCTGTAAAATTTTGCATGGTTGTCAAACCGAATCGAAAGGTTGGTGACTGATCTATGCGCATGAATCAATGATAGTCAACATATTCCCAATTACGGTGAAAAGGTCGGTAAAAGTTCTCCACGCTAGACCATGAAATAGTGTTTAGTCTATGCCGGACATGCATTATATGAGCTAGGTCTAGGAGATTAGGAGAATTGTACCAATCATGAAGCTATCCGAATGGCATGTTCTAAGCTTCGCACTACGCTCCCTTGCCCGCGTGAATATCTCCTCAACCGGACCAGCTCCTTCGCAAAAACGGCGTTATTTGACTTAAACTCCACTACGGATAAGAGGGGGAAGTTGGATCCCGACCTCCGATGCACTACCAAGTAAGCTTGTTGCCATTATGCGCAGCATGCAGACCGGCCTTAATTACACACGACGCTTGCGTAGACCCGAAGCCTGCTTTCTGGCGATAACCAAGTTGGTTCCTGGATTGCCCCTTAACTCTAGGCCACATCTAGACCTGAGCTCAACCAAATTCTCATCCCGGTACCCGACAGTCCTTGGATTCTCATAGACGGCATTACTGTACTCATGATACTGCCGTTCGAAAAAGTCAAAGGACGAATCCACCATGTTAGCTTAATGTCAAGCTCGGCGCCAACAACCTCAAAAGTTGACTCAACGATTACGCTAGCTTTTCTAAGCGGTCCTTCTCATATCCCGAAGGAGGCCGACGGAGAAGGAGAGTGATCATGAGATTCTGATGCCGAGATGCAGAAGTCGGCTCGGGAAGTCTTATTCGTATTCCCTCTTGGCGGGGTTCAAGCAACTGAGGCTCACCAAGAGTCCAACTTCGACAAGTATAAAGGCCAGGCCGTATCTTATCTTATCCCATAGTATACTTTTGATCACAAGCCAATTTGGTCTAGCCTTGGATGGTCACTTAAGAGCCTCTCAGCTATCCATCTTTATCACATATACCCCTTGACCTGTACTCGCGATCAAGTTATACCTTACTATTCATTCTCACAAAATTTGCAACATGCGCTTCCTCACCACCATCACCTTGGCCGTACTCACGGCCAGTGTAACCGCGGTACCCGTCGCGGTACTTCCCAGTCTCATCCATCCCCCAGTTCATGTCTTCAGGGCCGACCCTGCTGATGAAGCTGTCGAAGGGGAGCCCAACATTGAAGCCCGCGGTGAGAGCATCGTCGATATCTCTGACTGGGAGAGAGAGCCAGAGATTCAGACCAGAGACGAAGCCGCGATTGATGCCTGGGACCTGGAGCCAGAGATGAAGCTGCTCTAGACAACTTCGACCTGGAGCCCGAGATCCACGCCAGAGATGAGCCTCATATTCAAGCAAGAAGCGAAGCTGCGGCCGCCGGCATCGACCCAAACTACCACATTGTGGATGCCAAAGGCATCACCCCTGAGGACGACTGGAAGTACAGAGACAACCTAGCCAAGCTCAACGCCAATAACTGCGGCAAGGACTGCTATCGCTCCATCAACTCGTACCGCTCCAGGGTTTCCAGAGAACACAGGCCATACTACGACCGGAGCACTGATTACCACGCCAACAACTATGACCACCATGATAACTACGGCGTCCAAAGATCTTCCCGGGCTTCGAGGGGCGAACACAACACGCCCGCGGATGACTGGAAGTACAAAGACAACCTCGTCAAGCAGGACAACCACAACTGCGGTACGCACTGCGAGGCTTCTCTGAACTCGTACCGCTCCGTGGCATCCAAGGATTCGAGGCTCGCTCGGGAGAAGGACTACCACGACTACAACCATCAGGATGACAAGTACAACAACTGGTACCCCAAGGATTACCACACAAATGGAAACGGCTATAATAATCATAACAACGGTCATTATGACGATAGGACTCTCAGAACCAATACCTATTACCCCAAGGATCATCATCCTACCAAGTACAATGATATCCATCACAACGATTATCATGGCAACAACTATCATACCAATGGCAACGATTATCATGGGAAAAATTACCATACGAATGGCAACAATTATCACGGCAATAAGTACCATATAAATGGCAACGGCTATGACCATCATAACAATGGCCACGACTATGGAGTGCAGAGATCTTCGAGGGCGTCAAGGGGAGAGCACAACACCAGGCAGGATGAGATCAACCACAAGAATAATCACGAAAAGCTGGACGCGGGGCATTGTGGTCAAGGCTGCCAGCTGTCTATTAACTCGTACCACTCGGTTGCATCTGCAGACTCGAGGCGCTCCAGGCAGTCGAGAAACTCTCGTGGGAACCACGGTCACTGAAGATTGCTGAGGTCGGGTTGATGAGATACGTTTGTGATAACAGCTGGAGAAGCCGATTACCAACTTGATTTGAGCACTGAGGAATCTTTGATAGTTCGAAGCACGAAGATATCGCGAGGCCTCGTGTGATTGGGGCGCGAAATAATAATGTGGTTGAGTTCGTGGATATCAAGTTCAGATAATGGGAAGCCGATGAGCAATGATTTGATGAAAAAGTGGTTAATGAAAGCCAATACATTTTCTCATAGTGTTACATGAATCACGCACTAGAGCTGCGGCCGTATTGTCGTATACAAGGTTGAAGACCTCCCAGAATACGACGTGTTCGTTTATGTTACGAGCAGTGGACCTTGTTTCCTCCTCGACCACAAACCATCACAATTTGACTGACTTCAAATTCTCCCTAGGCACCCTACATCGCGAACCGAATATGAATGCAAATTGCAAAAGGCTTGGTCATAGAAAATCGCGGAATGGATGTGCTCGTTGCAAGGCGCGTCACGTGAAGGTATGGACATTTCCCACACACCAAACCTCGTCTCACAGACATGTCACATCCTTCCGAGAAGCTGCTTTGGTGACGAATCAAAAACTGACATCGAGATAACTCAGTGCGATGAGCAACGTCCTTGTGCCAACTGCATTAGGTATGGGCATACTTGCAGCTTAGTCCACGAGCCTGGACCGCAGTCCCCGGCGTCAAGTGACTCCGCAAGCCAAGAATGGAGGCCGGTCCAGAGTGTCGATCCGGGCGTTCCGGCTGCGGGAGGTTTGCCGACGTCGTCTATCCACAGTTCAGCGAATAGAGAGGCTTATGCACCTCCTTTTGGGACCTGGACGCAAACCATGCGCCTGCTCCACCATTACAACGTCGTCATCTGCCCTATCCTCGAAGATGAAGAATCTACGGCTGTGATATGGAGGGAAGTGGTCCCAGAAACAGCATTCTCTCACGTATGCTCTCTTCGATTACCTAGGCCACCCCAATCCCGATGTTGACCGCATAGTAGGAGTTTCTCATGCACGGGCTGCTTGCTTTATCTGCCCTTCATTACGCTCAAACCCACCCTGCTCAGCACGATGAGTTCGCTCTCATCTCATCGCAACATCAAGATGTTGCTTTGCAAGCATTTACTGTCAAGCTGCAGGATGTTAATGAAGGCAGCTTTGAGCCGTACTTCTTTCTTGCGACATTCCCTTTCATCATTAGCATGTGTTCCATCACATGTCAGCACGATGCAGGGGCTGTCATCGCCCCTAAAGATATTGCGCAGTCATTCATGCTGGTCAGGGTATCAAGAGCATGCTGGTCTTCAAGTCGGTAGAGACCTTCTCCCAATCTGGACCTCTGGGACCGCTCTTCGGGTATACAATGCCATTGCCCGTTGGACACGCCGGTCCGTTTCAGCGTCGCTTGGATCAACTTTTTGAGCTCACTCGAGAGCTAAACCCGACTTTGGAGGCAATGAACGCCCAGTCCTCGTGCCTACTGGCAATTGAGTCTCTCAGGACCACTTACACTGCTTGTGCGGCAGATCAATCGGCGACTCGCGGGCGTCGTATATGGCTTTGGCCAGTTTCTTTGCCTTCGTTCTTTGCCGATTTGATCAGCAACCATCATCATGTTGCCCTAGTCATACTGGCACACTATGCTGCTTTTACTAGACCATTTGAACATAGACAATGGACGAACAAGGGATGGAGCACCAAAATGATGGCGGCGGTTGAGACTGCGTTAGATGAGCAGTGGAACACCGTGGATCGACTGGCCTAAGAAGTCGCTGGAAGAGCATATTGATGTAGATGATATGGATGTTTAGGCTGCAGTGGAAGACCACACGCAGCTTACTTAATGTTGGTTCCACGGGGTCGTATACGACAAATAGTGGTAGCAATTATCACTCGTCTGTTGGTGATCCTATTGCTTGTTCTTCTTGTTGTTGTTCTATCTTACATTGTAGGCAGGAGTCGGTCGAAGTAGGTAGTGACGGCCTGAGTGGTTGCCCCACCTTTATCCGGCCGTGATGACTAAGCCAGTTGTCCCACTTCGCCCAGGGCAGGTGCCAGCCAGCCCATGGTACCTGCCTATTACTCCTTATCAGCCTTTGCTGTTCCAACACTTATTGATACCAATACCATACATAATGGCATACAGACTTGAAGTACCCATGATCATACAATTCAGACCGACCTAGAACTTAGCCGTTGGGATTAAAATTCCAACTGAAAGTAGGGAATTGTCGATGACGCTTTCATCTAGATGAGACTGCAGGTGAATTACACATTGAAGATTGCTTAGACGTCAAGGACTAATTGGCCAATATTATTCGCAGCTCTCAGTTTTATGTAGACGATCGGCCATTCAAGGAAGTAGACACGGAGATAATGCCATTCGAAATTCGGAGGAAGCACTGCTGTTCTTGTAATATCAATCCAGCAACACGCAATCTGGAACGACTCTTCATAGCAAAATTTCCAGCTCTGATGACTCAGATTTACGTCTCTTATGAAACACAATAATGTACCCTACTGTAATTATGGATGACCGAATTTTGCACTCCGAGGTGTGTTAGGGTCCATGACTGTCGGATTGGAAGCCCAATTCGGCCGCGAGTAGGGGCAAAGCATGGGCCACCTCGAGGGAGTACAATTAGACCTCGACTACCCACCCAACCTCAGGTTGGAATCTCCCTTTTACTCCTTACGCAGAATCAATCAATACAGAGATATTGATACTTCGTCACCCCCAGGACACTACGGTTCTGTTGGAACAGCAAAGGCTGATAAGGAGTAATAGGCAGGTACCATGGGCTGGCTGGCACCTGCCCTGGGCGAAGTGGGACAACTGGCTTAGTCATCACGGCCGGATAAAGGTGGGGCAACCACTCAGGCCGTCACTACCTACTTCGACCGACTCCTGCCTACAATGTAAGATAGAACAACAACAAGAAGAACAAGCAATAGGATCACCAACAGACGAGTGATAATTGCTACCACTATTTGTCGTATACGACCCCGTGAACCAACAGTTTCAATAACTGGCGTGTTGGGCTCACCTCAGTCAAGATAAGATTTCTTCTCGGACTCAGCCACGTGTAGCGCGCGTCTGAGGTTTGGGAAGATATCACAAAGCGAGGTAGCAAGTGGAAGACTTGTATGGTAGAAAGTGGCTTGATTCCTCTAAGTGGAAGACCCGTATGAGGGTCCTATCTATATACCGTACAAGACGGGTAATCGGCTTGTGGAAAGCGGTATCGTACGGCAGTAACCGGCAGCGCCACGTGTGGCGCTGCGACAGAAGACATCTGTCTTAACGCATTCAACAGATCATCCGCTCCGCGACGGCCTCACGAATCTGCGTGTCTGTCCACTTTATTTTACTTCGATCCCTCCATACCACCGGATCCCTCCATACCACCGGATCCCTCCATACCACCATCCGAAGGTTCAAGCATTAACCGTCAGAGGTTGAGACGAGACAAGGTGCCTCCCTGTATCTAATTAAGATTACCAATCAGTGTGCATATATCCGTGCCCCAGATCAAACGTTCAGTAGCTTATCCGTGGTTTGACTTCAGTAGGACTAAGGTTTGAAAGTTCGAATTGTCAACTGAGTCTCCAGTATTATGTGACGAACTGCGAATGCGCGATTGATGAGACAAAGATGGGGATCACTGTCGCCACGTAGGGATGAGTTTGATTTGAGCGTGCGGTTCACCACAAAAGGGTAGATTTGTATTCATGTCATTATTGGGTATATTGCATTCATTAGATACCCTTTTCAACTATTAGAAGCCTCGGGCTTCTTTCACGTCCATTTTGTTTTAGACCTGAGCAGGCTTCTTCTCGGCGTGCTCAGACATTCCCTGAACACCCTCAGCAGCCTCTTGCTTCTCGTTGTAGACAACATCTCTCGCCTCGGCATCGGCGTTACCGTGAAGACCGATCCTGTACCAAGGAAGCTCGAAGAGGCGGTCCATATCCTCAAGAGCACGTCCAGAAGTCTCGGGAACGAAGAACCAGACCCAGACACCACCGACGATAGTAATGGCAGCGAACGACCAGAATGTGCCCATGGGGGAGATACCACCAACAGCGGTGGAAGCCAACATGTTGGGCACGGCACGGGAGTTACCGTACTGGTTGGCAAAGTGAAGGGTCATGGCCCACGAGGTCGCGAGCGCGCGGACACGGAGGGGGAACAACTCGGCAGTCAGCAGGTACTGCATAGAGTTCCAGCCAAGGGCCCAACCGAAGCCGGAGACGTAGATCATGCCGACGGCGCCCTTGCTGCCGCCGACCAGGTTGGCGGGGAGCTCGAAGGAATCGTCAACGCCGAGCTTGGGAACGTGTGTGAGGAAGGAGGCGATGTAAATCATGGCGATGGCTTGCAGGGTGATACCCGTGAGCAGAGCGCGCTTGCGACCGATGACATCAACCAGGAACAGGGCGCAGCCGACGGCGGCGACGAGCTTGACGACACCGAAGACGGCGGTAATGAGGAGGGACTCGTTCTGGCCTTCAATACCGAGGATCTTGAAGAGGTCGGGAGCATAGAGGGTGATGGAGCCAGCACCGGACCACTGGGAGAGGAACTGAACCATGGTGGAGAGGTACAGGCGGTACAAGTTGCTGGGAACGAGGAAGAGCTCCTTGACCTTTCCGAGCCAGGTGGTGCCCTTGGAGGCCTCGAGCTCCTCGTGGTGGGAGTGCTGGATGGCGTAGATCTCACGGGTGACATACTCGTGGTCGACGGGGAGGTGACGGAGGTGGGCCATGGTCTCGGTGGCCTCCTCGATCTTGCCCTGCTTGACGAGGAAGCGGGGAGACTCGAACTGGAAGAAGGTCAAGATGAAGATGATGCCGGCGAACATGATGTGCACGGAGGTGGGCACGAGCCAGCGGTTGTGGGTGGTGTCACCGAGGTGGATCTGGCAGCCGTAGTTTGCGAAGTAGGCGAGCACGACACCGAGGTAGACGAAGCCGGTGAAGACGCAGGTGCAGAGACCACGGACAGAGGCCGGGGCGATCTCGGCGAGGTAGATGGGGCCGACGACCGGTGTCTGGCCTACACCGAGACCGGCGATGAAACGACCAGCGTAGACGGCGCCGAGATGTCCATTGTTGGCCATGAAGATGGCAATACCGATAATCCAGATGACGCAGAGTTGACGGGTAGCCCAGATACGGCCGATCTTGTCGCAGATAACGAAAGCACTGTATGCGGTATAAGTGGTTAGAGGAACGCCTGCCATAAGACTTTGAGCATAGGTAGGTTAAGCTTACAAGAGAGCACCAGCAACGGAACCGAGCTGAACCATAGCAGAGACGTTGGCCTTGATGTTGGTCTTCTCAGCCGCGCTATATGTATCGTAGTTAATGAACTTTTGGAAATCCTTGGAGCCGAATGCGCCAGAAATGAGACCCTCATCGACACCACGGGCCGCGCCCATGAGACCGAAAGAGATGACTGCGAACCATAGCCGCCAGTTGAAAACGCCCTCGGGTTCACCGAGGTCGCCCAACTTGAAAATGTTGATGGGCTTCTTGACACCGCCGCCTGCCATTTTGACAGTATTGCTTTGCTCGCACGGGATATTCGAGGGCGGTCTACTGAAGTGACAAGAAAGGGGGGTGAGGAGGTTCGCGGGCTTGGGGTATGAACACAACGGTTGGGGAACTTGAACCTGAGAAGGGGAAAGGAGCGGTTCGTATTAATACCCGGATCTGAGGAGAGAAGGAGGAGCAGGAGGGCACGTAGATCCATACACACTTACACCACCCTAGATCCCATCTTCCCGTGGACCAACCCAACCCATCCCCCCTCCCGGCCCCAGAGAGAGAGATGACAGCCAGCGGCCAATGCGACCCCGTGGGAAAAGAAGGGTCGAGGGTGTCGGGGTGGATGGGTTGACTCCGGCGACTGGCCAATCGCTCAACTTCCGATCCACCATCGTGAAAAAAATTACGAGGGGAAGGAATGAACGGATGGTGTCCTTGTTACGAAACTAAGCAAGGGTGGCTTGAGATGGGGGGGGGGGGGGGGGGGGGGGGAGGGGGAGGGGGTACCGGTATGGGGATGAACATGGAGATGCGTGGGGAGGAGGCCTGGCGAGCGGCGGTGGTCGAACAAGGTCGTGAAGTGGGCGGCAGCTTGCCCATATCCGGCCATGGCAACCGCGCGCCGGGGCGGATTTGGGGTAGGTTGGGGAAGACTAGGGAGACTAGGACCATAGGAACACTAGGAACACCAGGAGGGGGAAGACGAGAAGGAGGAACATTGAAAGGCGACGAGGATAGTGCCGGTCAGATCTCCGTTCTCTTTTCCAGCTCGTACTCACGAGTGACGAGAGCCGTTGTCCATCTTGACTGTGACCTTCGTCCACCTTCGTAGTTTTTCTCGGGCGCACCTGTAATTGTGTCACCGCATAGGACCTATCTAATTATCCACTTTGATAATGCAATGGCAGCGTACACGTTATCTTCTCGGATCTTCGGCACGCTGAAAAAGGAAGGAAAATGTGTTGATGGATTACTCATTGCTGGGACGTGATATCACAATCTGAATCACAGCGAAGAACCGCCGACTGAATTGATGTAAGTGAGAATTGACGGAAAAGCAGGAAAAACAAACCAAGCAAAAAAAGTGAATCAACGGAAAACCGCTCTGATACAAGAGTCAAATTTCAGAAGCGTTTACCTGCCCCTCAAAAAGCGAGGATGACCACTGTTTGACATCGGATGACTGGTTAATTTAGCTCAAGGATAACCGTGGCTATGGGCAGCACGGTCTTCATGCCGCGCCCTCGCCTTCATATTTCGACATACGTTGGACTAAGCGGGCAGACTATACTTGCCTCAACCGGCGCGTTGGGATCAAGAGGCTCCCGCAAGTTTCCGTAATGCAACACACCTACATGACATTCCATGCAGTAAGTTTTCGTATGCTGTTGTATCATTTGTCGAATCGTCAGACGGAGCAACGCCGCTCGTTACATGGCGCACCGACGGCGTGCGCGACGTTGATGGTGGTGGTCGGGACAAGAAATGCGCCTCAAGTCTTGTTTGCGCCGGCAGGCTACGTTCCCGCGTTGCTGGATTGGAACCAAGACTTTTCCCCAAGGGCGATCAGCCAGCGCCAAGTGACGTGATGTCTCCCCCGGCTGGGCGTCTGGGCTCTGCCAAAGTAGGAACATGAAGCGCAGGCCAAGTCGGGCCTGGCGGCAGGGTTTACCAGACCACTTTACCCAACGGCATCCAAAGTTGCGGTCCGGCTGACTGCTCGCGTGTCCTAGGTGTGTGAGAGACATTAGACTATGGGCGACCGAGCCTTGCGTTGTTGACGGTGTTGTTCTGTGTGAGTGCGCGCGCTATTGTGCCACCCCTGGCTGATATAGGAGTTGGCTCCGCATTCTCCGCGCTTTGGGGTTTGGAGAAGATGAGATGGTCCAGATGAGCTAACATTTCCCCGCAACACGCCGTTCTGGCACTGCAACCCTCCTCAAAGATTTCGAGAAAAATTGGCTGCGATATGACTCGTCGACGTCCGATGCTCGCTAGTCCTGCTGACAAACGGAGGAGCTCCAGGAGGAAGAGGGACCAAGAAGATGGAGACAAGACTGGAGTACGAAGTACGGCTCACGCAGAGGCGGCAAAGCCTACCGCGTAGAGGAGGGGGGAAGATGAAATCCAAGACAAACCACTCGCAAAAGCCCCATCATCAGCCCATGATCCATGTCCAAAAGGCCGTTTGCGCGCGTGGAACCCAACAAAAACATGCAAGATTTCCCCCCATCCCCATACCTCAAAGTGCTTGTTTCGTCGCTGGCTAAAGTGCTAACGCATGCTGCCTTGCGTAAAGAACTGGATACCCGACATGTTCGCACTCCGCAAGCTCGCCGCCGGCCGGTGGATCCCGACGGAATCGTTTCGGGCTTAAGTCGACGGGGCCAGCAACTGCCGCTCGGCCATCTTCCGTGAGGGCGAAGGACGGTATGCGCCCGCGAGGGCGGCGAGGCCACTTTGGAATCGAGTCATCGCACCCCGGTCTGCTCCGGTTTATTGATACCTTGACAGCGAAAAGATGCAGAGCGCCAGAGCCAGAGCCCGGCCGGAGACTGGCCAATTCAGCCATTCAGCAATTAGCCCCGACAAGGTCTGGCCCATCGGAGCTCGACCGACGATAGGTATTCGCCTCCCTCTTCTCTCTCACAGTGAGTCTCGCTCTCTTTTCTTTCATCTCCCTCGGTTCGGTGCCCATTTTTTCGTCTCCCCCTCACTTTAGCCAAACAAGATGGATCTCGTTGTGACTTTGCCCCCGTAGAATAAGGTTACATGCTCGTCCTTGGCCAACCAGAGGCACGATAATTCGCGCCGTGATACCTTGATATGCCTAGTGATTCGTGAGCTTTGGGGAAGATCCGACCACAGCGCCAGGGTATCTCGGCCAGATTCCAAGTTTCCCAACCCCGTCCAGAGCACGGTCATGGTGTCAACCCCAGGTACCCTTGATGGATCATGGACCTCCTTTCAACCCCAAAGTCCCCACGGAGAAAGCTTCCTTCAATGGGGACGGTATGGGGAAAACTGGAGTTGGAATATCTAAGCGCTCAACTTACAGCTCGGGTGAGGTTTTGAAGCTTCCACACACACCAAAAAACAACAGGCAACATAGGACACAGACGCCCACCATGTTCTTAAATGGTACATTTCTCCAACAACACGGGGCTTCATGTCACCGCCGACGCGGACGGAGTCCACCCGTCAGGGCCGTCCCATGGTGAAGGAAGCGGAGGAAATCCAGCAGGCATCTCCCAGCCACCCAGGAACAGGCATGTAATCTACAGGTTTGCGGGGATTTCACGTCTTGGTAAATTAGACCTCATACGATTGTTCCATGCGGCAGTATTGCCAACAAAAAGATTCCGAATTATATTGGTCAAAACCTTTACTTGAGAAAATTTCCATGTTGGTGAGGATTTGGAAACTGAAGATCCTTCGCCAAAACTCACCGGCTTCGGAGGGCAGAACATACAGCGAGTCCGACTGATCGACGGTTGCAACGGTACTAGCGGCACCAACGGTCCCAGAAACCTGATTTGTATGCTCTCCCCACGCAGAATCTTTGTGACCGCTCCCATGGGCCATGGGCCATGTAACAGTCCATCCTTGGCGCGAAAGTCTCGTTCTTTCTCCGCGTTGTGCCATTCTCCTGGAAATACTCACTCATGGCTGGCGAGACTCGCAACTTACTCATCTTCTGCCCAACGGCCCCTCCACTTACCCTCGGTGCACTTGGCATAGTGGCTCTCACCAAAAGCGACAACCCACTCGGCGGCAAAGGCGTCGTCAAATATTCTCAGCAGCATCATCTGCTCTGGATCTTCGTCCGCGCCGCAAACATCGCACGACGCGTTGACTGTTTCCTGGTCTCCGGCGGACAGCGTGAGGATTTTTTTACACGAGCCGAAGAAGCACACGCATTGCTCGCGGGCCGAGGGGCAGATCTCGCGGCGTACCACCGCGACGTGGGCTCCCTTGCACCCGTTTTGCGGAGTATTCCCGTCCACGGCGCCGGTGCAGTTTGCGGAGGCGATCCACTGGATGCACATGGCTGGTAAGGATAATCTTTCTCACCTTGCTTCCGTCGGGTTTCTGGCTGCTACTGTGTGAATGAGATCTGAACCTGATAATCAGTGCCTATGTCGCATTCGAAGTTTGCTTGATGCGTTCTTGCTCAACAGGCAGGGGATGCTTGCCGAGACGAGCCGACTAAATATTATTACCACTCGGTGACTCTCAATGAACAGACTCTGAAGATGTGTGTCAAACAATCGTATTGTCTGTCACCTGAAGAACCAAGCATCGACCCAATCGCCATCTTGTTTGTTTGATGAGCAGTTCTGATTGACAACCAATGTCTTTGGTCTTTGGTTCGCAACACACATATGTCCGTGCATAATCCCCAAGTTACAAAATCATGTCTCTTTAGTTGACTCGTTGTCTTCCTTTTTTAAGAACATGACATTTCTTTGAGCGTCCGTTGAAATCGACGTTCACAAAAGAACGCCAAGAAACCTTGGCAACCGTTGTTCCAAGCCACTTGGCATCGCCAAGATGGCCAAGATGGGCTCCAGCTAGAGCCTCAACTTCATTGACCCGCATCTACACTTCTCGTTCAACCGTCTGATATTATTTCTCTTTACAGTCTGGAAACAAAATGCCCGGTGGGATGCTGCAGCGGGCACATCCTCCCGCAACCTAATCGAGACATGATATGAACCATCACCTCCTCCCCCGGCCCGCGTCCGCCATCTCATCAACGAAGATGCCGCATAGCTGGTCCAAAACGTGTCAACATGTCAAGCAATCCGCGGCACCGGTGTAATCCTCCTCCACCAAGAAATTCTCCGCAACCTGTCAACTTGCTCGCTTCCCCGGACCAGGCAAAGTAACACGGCATGTCACTCCTGCCTTCCCCATGGGCCATGACGGGGGTGGGATAAACGAATCACCCCCTCTGAATGAGGAATATGACCCCCGGTTCGAGAAAACACACGCCACTTATACCCCTTTGATCCGTGAATGTGCTCTTTCGAGTGTTGCTACCGCGCCGCCCCCAACTTTACCCCAACGCGACCCTTTGCCCCGTGCCGAGTTACGTCCCCCCAAACTCCAAAAGAACTTCCCTTGCCCTCACCGTCCTCTCGTCGTCGTATCCCGCAAACTGCACCAGCTTCTCCACCGCCAACTCTGCGTACTTCTTACTTATTCCCATCTCCCCCATGTTGTGGTACACCCCAGCAACTATACCATAGAACTCGCCCGCCTGCGCTGTCAACCCTTCTTTTAACATGATATATTCAAGCTCGTCAACAAGTTCAGCCACCAGAGACGGCGAGCTGGCGAGGACCGGGTCCTCGAGCTCCGAGAAGATCTCCTGCAGCCGTCTGCGATAGGTATCTGAGATGGCCAGCACTTCGGGAGGAGAGCTACAGAGCGCGCAAGTGCAATTGAACCCCCATTCCTGGAGGGCATCTTGCCGGTCTTGGTAAAGCATGTTTAGCATCGAATCTGTTCCTGGCATTAGTCGCTTTCAGATGGATGTGCGAGAGGGATTCAGGGTTCTGACAACTGATGCTTAGTTCATCGCCCGGCAGGATGTCTTTGTACGCCACGACTTCTAACTCCAAAGTCCGGGGCGAGAAGCGGGTGATTGCACTAGCTTTTGGTAAGCACTCTATCTTTACCTTGACTCAGGTTTAGGGTGCAGACGTACTTGGGTTTACAAGCATGGTTGATTCTCTGCTTATTATCAGTAAAGCTGTAACAGAGTGTTGGAAAATAATCACTTACCGCAACGTCTGGGAACAGTCCAAAGTGGGCAACGTTGTTGAAAATTCCGCCAAACGTATTTGTTCGGATGATATCTTCCAGAATATGGCCCCCGGTGCTTCGAGAAAGATCAAATACTCTTTGCTGATCCTCTATCGGCAGCCGAATAAAGCCCTCCTCCAGCACCCAAAGAGCCTGCATCCGGCTAATCGACTCAGATACTTGCGCCAATTGCAGAATGACAGGGTGTTCCCTCAAGACGACATCTCCCGAGCGGATGTGCCTTCTTGCGACGGCTCCTAAACCTTTACCCGGTATCGTCGCAACTTCAAAAGGGAGTGGGTCGGCCGACTCAAGTGAAGGTTGAATATTGGCCCGTTGGGAGTCAATATCCTCGACGAGGCTGACATCACCGGCTGCAACCTCTGGGCTTGTGATAATGAGAAGACTTTTGTTCCTTCGAAAGTCTTCTTTGATGAAAGCGCAATATTGCAGTGTCTTGTTTGCCTTTGGGCCGACACATACTGGTTCTTGCGTCCATGGGTGCCAGCCAGTGAACTGGGCGGCCCTCTCGAAGCTATTTTCCAATGGGCATTGTGGTTCCAATTTTGCGGCGATGAGTGGACTAGAAATGTCCCAGGAGAATTAGGTGTTATCATTGTTGATGAGGGTTGACGATACAATAGTAATGATCACCAAGAGACAACCCCAAGGCTGTATGAGCGAAAAAAGCCCCATCGCAATCACGATAAAGACAGAACAAATTGAATCCAAAGGACAAGAGCTATCCCCAAGCGAAATGATCTTATAGAAAAGCTCCTTTCAGCCAAGCAACGGAAGCCTCGCCACCACCAACTTAACCGACCAATCGATAAGAGGTCACCCCACACAACCGATCGCCCAATTTGGCCACTTTTTTTCCTCCTTCAACACCACCACCACTTTCACTATGTACGTGAAAATCAATAAAAAAATCGCAAATATTATACTAAAATTTCCAATAGATTCACCATGGTTAATTACACGGAAGAACAAGTGAAAAATGCGGTTAACAATATCTGCGAGGGCAAGTCGATCCGGAGGCTACTACCGACTAGGGAATCCCTCGCTAAAGACGCTTAGGGCACGGTAAATGGACTCTAAGCGCGTTAAGTCAGTTACCGTTGAGTCTTTGCAAGCCTTTTAGAAGACCCTAACAATCCTAGAAATCCAGAAGATCCCAATGTCCCTCCGCTGGAATATGGACGAAACGGGTTTGACGGAAGGGACCAGCAAGGATTCTTTAGTACTAGGCAAGTCCAAGAAGCAAACGATCTATATCCAGAACCCAGGGGATCGTACTTAGACTACGATACTCGAGTGTATCTCTGCCAGTGGCCGTCACCTTCCACCATTGGTGATTTTTAAGGGGGAGACGGTCCAGCACCAGTGGTTCCCTGAGAAATTGACGGATTACGCCTCCTGGAGCTTTACATCGTCGACCAATGGGTAGACCTCGAATTCAATTGGCGTGGAATGGCTGTAGAAGGTCTTTATACCTGGTACGGCAGAGGAGGCCAAGAGACTGCGCTCCAAGCGGCTCTTGATTATCGACGGCCACGGAAGTCATGTTTCTGACGACTTTATGTGGCAATGTTACTCTCAGGGCATTTGGCTGTGTTGTCTACCAGCCCATTCTAGCCACATCACGCAGCCCCTAGATGTATCCGTCTTCTCGCCGCTCAAGAATACTTACCGCAAGCTTATCCTCGAGTGCGGCCTCCAACTCAACTCAGCGCCCATAGGGAAGCAGAACTTCCTCCGCTGTTACTTTCAGGCACGGGAAGAAGCTTTGATAAGCCGGAATATATGCTCCGGATGGAGGGCAGCAGGATTATGGCCCGTGGATATAAGTAAGCCACTTGAGAACCCATTGCTAGTTATTCCAGCAGCCACAGACGTCCTACGGGCCCCCCCATGGGAGCCACTACTTCCAGAGATTCCCGAGACACCCCAAGAACACCATATTATTACGTCTAAGAAGTCGGGAGACCTCAGGAGATACCGGCAGCCCTGGAATGGCCGTAAGGGGAGGGACGACTACGACCCTGTGGTACGGCAACTTATATTTAATAAAGTTGGCAAGCGATTAGATGCCCAGAACTTCGCCCTGGCTAATACTCAAGGGGTCATAAAGGCACTGGAAGCTCAAGTTAGATTATATAAGCCAGTACCACGGGTAAAAGTCAGGCAAGATCCAAATGAACGATTTATACAAATTGAGGCTATTATGAGGACGAAGAAGGAGGTCGCAGCACGCTCTGCACGGCAGATCATGGAATTGACGGTGGTATCGGGTATACCAGAAGCTTCTTTTGCTAGCATGTGTTCAGAATTCCAGCTTTAGCAGCGCTGTGCCACCAAAAGACCAATTCGCCGCCATGAAGTCCAAAATGCGAAGTCTCGAAAAGTGGCCAAATTGGGCGATCGGTTGTGTGGGGTGACCTCTTATAAGGTAGTTGCCGCTGCCACCCTACCTCGCGAAATAAGCGTGGTATTTAGGCTCAACCCGCGATACTGCAACCCTCGCGACGATCCTTCTCTCGGCGCAGGATCTCGCTAGACTGAGATAGCTCCCGCTTTCTGCATTTCTGCAAGGACCGGAGCGTCAAAGGCCGCGATGCCAAGTTCTGCCAAGATGCTTGGTTTTTTGGGGAAAGTCGTCGCGTGGCACTTTCTCTTAGCTGGGCTGGGCAAGATTTGTGAGATGGAGGGGAACCCTGCAGCCACGGCGAGGTGTGAACGGGTTCTTGGAGGTGAGTGAATTTCATTGGGGTCCTTGATGGTAAGGCCAAGACCAAAGAGAGGGGGATGATCTGTGGTGATTGGGGGATGGATATCACAAAAGAATCAACCGAGATCACAGTGAAGTTAAACCCAGCCGGTGGTACTCAAGTCTACTCACGATACTTTGAATACAGAAGATTTTAGCAGAAAAATTAGTAAAAAGAGATGATTGTCAGTTCAATCGCTGACGGGAATTGAGCCCGACGTGGCTGATTAATGTTAGTTACATGATCCTTGATGTTGAAGATGGGTATCTGATGCTTACGGGTCGAACCCACAACCTTGAGATTAAGAGTCTCACGCTCTACCGATTGAGCTAGCCGGGCAATTGATGCGGTTAATGAAGATTTATCAGGTAGACTGGAGCTCATGGAGTCCAGGTTGTGCGTGAGATGAGGGCACGATCCACATTCAACACCAAGGGTATCCATCGTGGCCTTTCCGGACGACCCGGGCTTCGGCGGGTCGGGATGTGGGACCTCTTCCGGAACGGCGGTTTGACTTGCTCGGCCCGCATTAGAATAGGTCTGAGGCACTTTGCAATGTCTTACAGTATAGGAGAGTCCCTTGGTCTCAGACTCCGTTGTCTCTTTCGCAGGAGCGGAGGATGAGATCATGGGTTATCAGTCTCTCCAAACTTTTCAATACAGTCCGCACAGCATCATGGAGCTGAAGACGGACGCCTGCTCATTTGATGGCAAAGTCGTGGATGTTGTAGTCATTCATTCGGCTTCATGTAAGCACGGCGAATCAACACATGAGATTACGGCTTTATACAAGTATTAACACAAGATTTCGACATGCAGCGTTTTGAGTTTTGTTTATTCTTTGAATATCTTGAATCTCTAACCCGTCTCATCTACGGCAATGTGTATCCGCCATCAATAACCAGATTTGCGCCTAGTATTTTTTTAGCCGACTAGACAGTAGAGCGTGGGATCAAGGGGAAATACCTGTCATGTAACTACTCGCACCACTTGCCAGATAGACGTAAGATCCTTTCAGTTCCGCAGGCTCGCATAGTCGACCACCGGGAATCATGGAGAACCACTTCTTCCTCCACTCCTCGGGATGCACCGAAAGCACTATCAAAGTCAGACTTTCATCCGTCCATAGATCCAAGTTATCAAGCTTTAACTTACTGTCCGTTGCAATGAAACCAGGCGACACGCAGTTCACTCTCGCAAAGTCAACCCACTCCACAGACAACGACTTAGCCAAGTGCACAACAGCCGCCTTACTGGCATTATACGCCGCCTGCTTCTGCGGAACGTTCACCAATATGGCGGAGACCGAAGCTGTGAAAATGATGCTTCCACGACCATCACTGCCACCCTTCAGCTGCCTCTCAAAGACCTTGGCAGCAGCTTGCGCAGTCCAGAAAGCCCCGTGAAAGTTGACGTCCAGCATATCACGGAACTTGTCCTCGGGATAGTCAATGGCGGGGATATGGTCCGCGATTCCGGCGTTTGCTACGACAACATCGAGCTTCCCGCCTCCAACTTCCTCCGTTGCCGTCTCAATGACGGATTCCACCTCGGCTCTGTTTCGGACGTTGCACTTGTACGCCTTTACGAGCACACCGTTGCCTGATTCAGATAGTTTGGCGGCCGTGGCATCGGCTTCTGCGGGGTTGGTGCTGGTGTATGTGATTGCGACCTTGGCGCCGGCCTCGGCGAGTCCGCGGGCGACTTCCAGGCCGATACCACGTGTTCCGCCGGTGACTATGGCCGTCTTGCCGGACAAGTCGAAGTGCGAGATCACGGGCGCTGCCGGGCCTGGGTGGCTTGGAAGAACCATTTTCAATGTCGGGTTATGTCTAGGGAAATTGGAAGTTGTTGATGGGTTGATGACAAGGGTGAAACGGTGATGTGGTGGCCTGACTATTGTTTGCCGGCCAGCTTAGAGCTACAGCCGGGAAATTTGTACCGAAAAGACTTGAGTACATGAAGTAGTTGAGAACCACATTACATCCACCGGCGAATGAGGCCGACGGTCGACAGTCTGCCGGAGCGGGAGGGGCCAATTCGGTGCGGGGAAGACGTGGCATTCCGGACGTCTGTGACCCCGGCCGCCCCTCGACCTACTGATCTTTTCCCGTAGTTTGGTGCTTAAGCGGGGCTTGCGCACGATGATTGCAACTCCATTTTCAAGAAGGTAAGGTTCTATTCACATCCCTCCCTCGGGAGTCGTGTAGTCATGAGGTATTTCCTCAGTTTCCTCTGAGATCCAGGATGGTCTAGAACAAGGTAGTGGGAAATGGCGGCAGACGATGGGATTATTCCAGCAGTCACCCCATATGCGAATTGATCACAGATATAGAATTTCAAATGGCGAAACGTGAAAGAATATTTCCCCCTTTGAACAAGGTCAGGTAAGCTTGCACAAGACTCTTGAGTGTTTTACATGAATATCTGATCATTATTCTCGTTGCTATCCAGCAAATCGCCAGGTCCATTTATTTAGGTACACCTTCTATAACTACCTTGAGAGTGTTCTCTTTGGCCTGTCTCACGACCTCAAACGCCTCAAGAGCTTCCTCAAATTTGTAGCGATGCGTTATCAACTTCCTAGGATGAACCTTCCCGTTGGCAACGAGATTGACAGCCTCGGGATAGCATCCTGTCTGATACCGGATCGACCCCTTGATAGTCAAAGCTCGAATGCAAGCTGTTGTGATGGGAAATACGATGTTCTGCTTTTGTGTTAGCAAAAGTCGTTCCAATGTCTGATGACCAGATGTTTATGAACGAACCTCTTTCCCCATTCCGGCTTGAACAAATGTCCCGCCCTTCTTCGCGGCGAACACGCCAGCCTGGATGCACTGCTCCGCACCAGTACACTCCAGAACAACATCAGCTCCTTCCCCGAGACCATAGTCCCTTACAATATTCTCGCCAATAGCGCGGGCAGCATCGACAGGATCCTCGGATGCGTCGGGCAGCTTCTTCGAGACGTAGACATCGTCGGCAGCAAAGTCCCTCGCAAACTGAGCGCGAGATTCGGATACGTCAACACCAATGACCTTTGCAGCACCGTACGCCTTGGCAACAGCCTGACACAAAACACCAATGGGTCCACAGCCAAACACAAGAACCGTCTGGCCACCCTTCAGCTCCGCCACCTTGCAAATTTGGACGGCGACGGCAACTGGCTCTACCAAAGCACCATCTTCGGAGGACATGTGCGCCGGGATCGGGTAAGTGTAGTCACTAGCGACAATGTAGTACTTCTGCAGCGTGCCGTCCCAGGGAGGCGTTGCTGCAAAGACTGTATCTGCGCATAGGTTGTATGAGCCTGCTCGGCAATAATCACAGCTATTGGAATCGTTAGAAACGGCCGCTTGTCTATGCTGAGGGCTGGGGGAGGCTCACTGCCGACACGGAACACCTGGCTCTATCGCCACTCGGTCACCAACTTTGACGTTCTTGACTTTGCTTCCAACCTCAACAATAGTCCCTGAACTTTCATGCCCCAGAACGATGGGCGACTTTAGGATGAAGTCACCGATCCGGCCTCGCTGCCAGTAGTGCACGTCGCTGCCGCAGATGCCTGTCTGCTCGATGTGAACTCGGACGTCATGTTCATCGCGAAGTTCTGGGACTTTGCGGTTCTCAAATGAGACGTTCTTGACAGAGTGGAGCACAAAGGCAGGGTTCTGGACAGAGCATCAGTGAATCCGGCGATTGCAAGGGGGCAGGGCTAGTCAGCTAGTACATACAATTTCGGACATGTTGAGTCGATGTCTTTTCAGGGCTAGATTGGTGAGATTGAGATAACCGTCAAGATATCGAATAGGGTACGTGGATCAGTGCAGTATTGTTCAATTTGGTAGCCATCTTATTTGTGCAGAGTGTGAAGCACCAGACGGAAAGCGTGACTTCGATTGCGGGGTGGGGCCGCCGTGCGGTGCCGGACAGGGACCGAGTTCGGGTGACAGTAGTCCGATGAACATTTAGCGCCGGGCTACAATCCTCGGAGTTAGGAGTACCTACATTAGCGATTCTTTTGTTGCTGAGAGGCTCATGCGTACTCTAGACTCTACTAATAGGAGATAGCCCTTTCTAGGGTCGTCGTGTCCGGGAAGTCTACTTCTCCCCGCGAACCCGCGACGTCTACAGACTACAGCATTGCCGGTCCAAGTATGGAGTCTACCTATCAAAGCCTTTTTCAACGAATCATCTCCAAATGGAATGAGAAGAGGCACACATCACCTGACACCTCCCATGAGCATCCCCGCCTCATCATCGCACTCGCGGGGCCACCGGGCTCCGGGAAGACAACCATCGCCCAGAAAGTCGTCTCCGCCATCAACGCCTCCCCAGAACCCCACCCGAAGTCCATTGTCCTATCCGCGGACGGCTTCCACCTACCCCTCGCAACCCTCCGGGCGCTTCCAAATGCGGCGGAAGCCATCGCCCGCCGCGGGGCACCCTGGACCTTTGACGACCATGCCGTCGTCGATCTTGTCCGGCAATTACGGTCTTCAACTGGGCTGCGGCCCGTTCTCGCGCCGACCTTTGATCACAAGGTGAAGGACCCGGTTCCCGATGGGTTCACCGTGGAGGCAGGTGTCCAAGTTTGTATCATTGAGGGCAATTACTTGCTCGTGGACGAAGAGCCCTGGAGCCAGATTGCAGATTTGGTAGATGATCGGTGGCTTGTGAGAGTTGAACCTACACTGGCACGGACCCGGGTTGCCGTGCGGCATATTGCGGCTGGTATTGAAGACACTATGGAAAAAGCTCTCTTTAAAGCAGAGAGTAATGACATGGTCAACGGAGACTTTGTTGACAGGCACAGTGAGGGTAGATACGACATATTGATCGATAGCATAGAAGAATTGCCCAATTGAGCAGCACCTTGGATCAACCTCTCGCAAACGTCAGGCCGAAATAGCCCTACTGGATATGAGGGTGACAGAGATCCGGCCGGTGCTTCCACCTGAAACCCGGGGAACCTTGCCAAGGATGTCACTAGCCTTCTCTAGCCCGTATGGTTTGGCTAGGAAGAAATGGGCGAGGATGTTGTGACTAAATCCAGGTATTTGAATCTCTTGAACTGCTTGAGCTGAAGAAACTCTGTCACCAACGGCAACAGAACTCCTAGCCCTTCTATCTTCCGATTGACCTTTTCTACCCTCTCTTTGGCTCATCAGACAACAACAAGATGGCAATAAACGGCTCTACGAATGGGACGAAGAAGTCTATCAGAGCCCCCAATCCGCCTATCGAGGATAGTGTCTTCAAACAGTTCCGGCTAGATGGAAAGACAGTCATCATTACTGGGGGTGCAGGCGGTATAGGATCAGAGATCGCCAGGGGCCTCGCCGAAGCCGGCGCCAACGTATGCTGAACCTCATCCCAATATGGTACACACAAGACTAACACAGGAGCCCCCTGTAGATCGCCATCTGGTACAACAGCTCCAAAGCCGCAGTCTCCATAGCCGCAACTATTGCAAAGGACTTTGGAGTCAAGACAAAGGCCTATCAAGTTGATGTCACTAGCTACCCTGCCGTTGAGGCAGCGGTCGCGGAAGCGATCAAGGACTTTGGTCGTCTGGATGTCATGATCGCCAACGCCGGGATCCCATCCAAAGCCGGTGGCCTGGACGACAAGGTCGAGGACTGGGATCGCGTGCGTGCAGTCGACTTTGACGGCGCGTACTACTGCATGAGGGCGGCTGGGCTCGTGTTCCGCGAGCAGAAGAGGGGCGTGGGCATCATCACCGCATCCATGAGCGGTCACGCTGCGAATGTGCCGCAAGAGCAGAGCTGCTACAATGCCTGCAAGGCAGGAACCGTAAGATCATACCATTTCCTTCTAACATCTGATGAGAGTATTCTGGCTAACACTAAAGACGTCTAGATTCACCTGGCGCGGTCTTTGGCCGTCGAGTGGGCCAAGTGGGGGGGACGCATCAATTCAGTGTCTCCCGGTTACATCGATACCGTCATCTCGGGCGATTGTCCGTTCGAGATGAAGGAGGAGTGGTTCAGTTTGACACCACTGCGCAGAGACGCTGATCCGAGGGAGTTGAAGGGCGTTTACCTGTACCTCGCAAGTGATGCTAGTTCCTATACAACTGGGGCCGACTTCATTGTGGATGGTGGTTACACGGCACGGTGATCTAGAAGAATTGAATACAGTAGACCAGAAGTATCATGTCTGCGATAGGCTTCTCTCGTCGAATGTCTAAATATCTGTGAACTCTGACCCGTCTAATGGCTTGACCGAGTGCATGTAACCTTAGATGAAAAATGATCCTACTTGGATGACATTAGTACCTTGGTTGCACGCGTTTTTGGCAGATTGTGTAATCTTACACCAGGATCTATGCGGAGATATTTTACACAAAAAAAACTGAAAGACGCAATTGCGAAGTAACCCACTTTCCATTTTTGGGGGAATCGAAGTTATACATGTACCGAGTCAGTGATACCAAGTTTTTCAAAGCACTGTTTTCTGCGATGTTGAAAATTTCGAATTTATCTCAGTCAAGAATTATCAGCCATCAAATTATCACGCTCTACACTTTGACCTTCACTACGCAAAGAGTTGGTTGACTTGATAGCTCAGCTTCATTGTCCACGAGACTTCACTTCGAGAAGAGAGCAGCGTTGATAAGTCCGAGACTATCCAGCCGAAATCCGAATAAACCGATCCTTGATCTCTTCCGAAGCTGACGCTGCAAACATACTACAACCCGGTTCAACCTCGTCGTCGCCCCATGATCGAAAGATCCCGCACTGGCGGCCCCCATCCACCCTCGCCTAAATTCCCAACCTACAACAACTGCGCCAGGCGTTATTACCGGGCAAAGCTATCCGAACTTGGACTTGGCAACAATGCCGCAACTTACCAATAGCGCATATCATTCTCCGTCAATTAAGTCCTTGACATCCCGCTAGTACAGGGTGACAGTCGCCCGTCGTCCCCGCACTTTACCAACCGCACGTCAGAGTTCCCTCGTAGGGCCACGCACAAGCATGACTCGCGTGCCAGGATGGATGCCGATGCAGCACAGCTTGAATGATGCAACAGGCCATCCAGTCTGATTACCCCATGGGCAAACATCAAGTCACCCCCGTATTTCCAACGACCCATTTACCACGTTATGTGGGGTAAACGAACATGCGGAGGATTGCCGGACGCGGTATTCCCAGGTCCCGGCTGCTTGGGAACCATCTCGTTTGCGTACGAAATGCTCCGCGACTACTTGATCACCAACTCCCATGGGCTTACTTCGTCCAGGTGCATGTATAAAGCTCCTGCGGGTCCCGTCACGAATCATCATCAACTTCTTGCTGCCTTGCCTCGTCTTGTTCTTACATCGGCTGTCAAGACATCTTCGTGTTAGTCAATGTCGCAAAATCGACCTCGGAAATAAGCCATCATGAAGGACGAGCAGATTGTCGGCGCCGCCTTGGCTGAAGTTCTTCCTAAGACAGACAAATACTGGTTCCAACAGCCGCATTTGCTCAGATTGAACTTGTTGCTTCTAATTCCCTTACTCTCCTCTTCAGTCGCAGGCTATGATGGTATGTGCAAGGAACTCCCTAATTCTCCCCTTTAGGCATCATCTGATGGCTGCTAATACCGCATCTTATGTTATATGTAGGCTCCCTGATGAATGGCCTCCAATCCCTTCAACAATGGCGAGAATACTTCGGACACCCGGCTGGTGTAAGGCTAGGAGTTGTGAATGCAGCACAATCCATCGGATCCGTCCTAGCTCTGCCTATCGTGGGATACCTGGCAGATCGCTTTGGCAGGAAGCCCGTTCTACTGTTTGGTATCATCCTTATCATCGTCGCCACAATCATCCAGTCCACCTCGATCAACTTGCCCATGTTCATCATCTCGCGACTAGTGGTCGGCTTCGGCGGCATGTTTGTGGTACACCCAAGTCCAATGCTCATCGCCGAATTAGCTTGTGAGTTCACAAGTTCTCACACAAAATAAAAACGCTGACCGAAGTCCAAAAGACCCAACGCACCGTGGAAAGTATACCTCCGCTTACTGGACAATGTACTATCTTGGTACGTCAAGCCACCAGCTTCCAGCAACTTCCGGTGACCAACTTGCTGTTTGACAGGTGCGATCTTGGCCTCGTGGACGACTTTCGGCTGCCAAGATTACCAAAGCGAGTGGGCGTGGCGAGTTCCTTCCATCCTACAAGCCGGATTTCCACTCATACAACTATGCTTCTATGCCTGGGTCCCAGAGTCACCGAGATGGCTGGTAGCAAGAGAACGAACAGCAGAAGCTGCCGCAATTCTCGCCAGATATCACTCGGGGACTAATGCTGCATCCGAAGGCCACACGCCTCTTGTCCGCCGTGAAGTGGCCGAAATTGTCCAGACAATCCAGCAAGAAAAGTCTGCAGAGACAACGGGCTGGATGGCGTTGGTTTCTACGCCTGGAAACCGCAAGAGGACGTTGATTGCAGTTTGTGTGGGAGCATTTGCCCAGTAAGTACCATATCGCGAGTTCCTGAGAATACTCGTTTGCTAACATATTTGTCTACAGGTGGAACGGCATTGGCGTAGTCTCGTATTACCTTACGCTAGTTCTCAACACCGTCGGCATCACGGACACGTTCACACAAACTTTGATCAACGGTCTGTTGCAAATTTTCAACTTCGCCGCCGCTTTAAGTGCTGCCTTCCTCGTGGACCGTCTCGGCCGCCGGACTCTATTTCTTTGGTCAGGGGCAGGCATGTTGGTGAGCTACATTGTCTGGACAGCCTGCTCAGCCGTAAACACGGACACCGGGTCCAAGTCTGCCGGAGTAGTTGTTGTCGTCTGCCTTTTTACCTTCTACTTCCACTACGACATCGCTTACACCCCACTCCTGATGGGATATCCGACTGAGATTTTCCCCTATTCCCTGCGTTCTAAAGGTATTGCGGTTGAGCTGTTCGCAATCTATGGGTCACTGATCATCGCGGCGTTCGTCAATCCCATTGGTTTAGAGAACATTGGGTGGCGGTATTACATTGTCTTTTGCTGCTTTTTGGTAGTATTCTTTGTCGTTACGTGGGCCCTGTTCCCAGAGACCAAGGGGCACAGCTTGGAGGAGATTGCGGTAATTTTCGACGGGCCCCAGGCTGTGGAAAACTTTGAGGATGCTTCTGATTTGAAGGAAGATAAGATACTTACTAAAGGAGGACTTCACGATATCGTGCACAAGGAGGAGGCATAGTTTGATTTCAACTTCTATTACAGGTAACTAGCTCATGGAACATTTAGAGATGTATTATTGTCGTCTTTAAAACTTGAAGATTCAAGAGAGTGCTAACAGCTTGACTTTCATGTTTCACATGAAGGAATCTCTTAATTCGAATCGAATCTTCATCCATTCAATGAACCCCGGGGGCTACAGCAGGATCACATTCGCAAGCTGCCATGCACTCTCGTCGTCGCCTGCCATGCCCAAGTTAGTCTGCGCCACAAACGACAAGTCAACCTCAAAAGTGAAATTGCCGATTCAAATGCCAACTTGACGCATACAACATACGTTCCATAAACTTTTCCCAATAGCAAATCTTCCAGCCGTTCTCAACATCCGACTAATACCGGACGGAGCTCGGCCGTGCAAGGATTGCATCCCCCACCCCCTGATCGCGATCAGATGGTATTGTGGATCACCGCAGCGCAAGCGTGCGGAGAAAAAAAGGGCGGGGTTTCACTTGGAGTTCGTTGGAGTTGGAGGACAACCTCACCTCACCCCATGCGCCAGACCAACACTTTCCCTCGTTTATTCGCCTGTTCCTGCATGTCATATCATGACGTCCTCGGGCCGAGACGGACTACACTCGCCCTGCCCTGTCCAAGTAGCCCCTGTTCTATCGTATAGACAGCCCTCGGAGTCCTGAGGCTTAGATCGCGATCCCGACGGCCCATTGTACACAGGAGAGGACCGGAAGAAAGCGCCTCCCATGAAAGATGTTATCCTCAGCCGCCTTGGGTGACAATGAGCCGGCGGCATCTCAGTCGGTCAACCTCGACTCTCTCAGCATGGCATTTCCGTCCGCCGATCAAGCATGCAAGGAGTGCCGGAGGCGGAAAGCCAAGTGCAACCGGGCGATTCCGACATGCAACTTGTGCGTAAAGTACCGCCGGCACTGCCTATATGAGAAGCACGCCCGCACCCCGTTGACAAGGAAGTGCGTAGAACCATTCACCGTCCATAGTGCATAACTATAGAGCACAAAGAGACTTTTAAGCTGACATAAACATATGCAGACACCTCACAGAAGTAGAAGAGAGGTTGGAGCGGGCCGAAGCAATCATCACACAGATGAGAGCGTTGATGCCAGCCCAGCTGAGATCAGGATCCGTGCTACCTAGCCCGAGAAACCTGGAAACACCGGTGCCAAGAGGTGATGAAGAGTCCTTTGACTTCTCAAAGCTGGACACACCGGCGCCAACGGATCCGGCTCCCCTTCCGTCTTCCCTTCCGGCCCTCGCAGCAGCCGTAGGGCCCGATCCACTTCCACAATGTGAAGGCGTCTATCCTGACCCGTCACAGCCATTTCAACCATCACCGGCACCCCAGAATCATGTCCCGTCTTTAGTCCCACCATCCTCCAACATAAGACCCGATCCCCCACGGGCTCCAAGAACTACTCAACACAAACCCTATAATGACACATCCCACAGAGACCTCAACCTCCTCGAGGCTCATCCCACAGACGACTTCGAATGGGACGAACAAGAGACCCTAACAAACTATTCAGCGTCCCCCGAAGCCATCCTCGAAGCCGACTTGAACGGCGAAGTAATCGCAGACCCAATCGCAGACGGCATGGCCTCACTAGCCGTCAGCGAAAGAGAATCAGGCTACCTTGGCGTCGCCTCCGGCGCAGCTCTCCTCCGTCTCCTAGAACCATCAACGCCAAGACGAAGAACCCAATCCTCCTCCTCAAGACCAGGAGGAGGAGGGACACTGGCTCACCACCAACAACACATCGTCAACCCACCCATCACGCAGCAGCCGGATCCCAACAGACACATCACAGACGCAATGATCGACGCCTACTTCCGCCTCTACCACGTAAGCTACCCCATCATCCACGAAGCCACCTTTAGAGCGCAGTACGCCGGCGTCATCCCCCGCCCCAGCGGCGACTGCTGGCTCGTCCTGGCCTACACCGTCGCCGCCATTGGCGTCTACACCACGGCCGCGAACCTCGATAACCTCGACACCTCGCTCTTTGCGCAGGCCCGCTCGATCCTGTCCTTCAACTTCCTCGAGGTGGGCAACCTGACGCTCGTCCAGGCGCTCACCCTCATCTCCAATTACCAGCAGAAGCGGGATAAGCCGAATTCTGGGTACAACTACCTCGGTCTGGCCGTGCGCATGGCCATGGGCCTGGGTCTGCATAAAGAGTTCCAGGGGTGGAATATCTCGCCTCTGAATATGGAGATTCGACGGCGGGTGTGGTGGTCTCTGTGCGTATTTGATGTCGGGGCAACAATCACGTTCAGCAGGCCGTCCGTCTGGCCATACGAAGGCGTCGAGGTTTCGTTACCATTAAACGTCGACGACAAGGTCTATCAGCCCCTGCTCCTACCAGCTTCGGTTTCTGTTAGCTCTGACTGACCCCTCTCGTAGTCATTGACCGCCATCTCAAAATCATACCCCCCAGAAACAGACGGCATCACCCCCTACACAGCCGTCCGAACACAAGCAAGCTTCCACATCGCCACAACACCAATCTACACAAGGGTAATCTCCAAGCCTCTCCCCTCCCCAGACGAGATGTTACGCCTCGACCAAGACCTTCTCGAGCCGTGGCTAGCAAGCTTCCCGTTCTACTTCTCCTCCACGAGCCACGTGCCGCCAAAGTACGCCCTCGCCCACGCCGTCATGAACTGGCGGTACAGAAACCTCCGCATCATTATGTACCGCCCCTTCGTCATCCGTCGAGCCCTTCAAGCCCGCGACCGCCGACCCGACGACTCACCGGATAACGTCCGCGCCTTTAAAAAGTGCCTGGCGGAAGCCAAGGCGACAATCACCAGCATCAGTGAGTTCTGGCAACGGAACGAGCACAATCGTTTAGGTGCCTGGTATGCCTTGTGAGTGCTACGATCTCTCCGTACCTTCTCACTCATTTTTCTTCAACTTACCTACTGTCTCCAGATACTTCCTCTTTCAAGCCGCCCTCATACCCTGTATATGCCTCCGCAACGACCCAGCATCCCCCAACGCACGAGACTGGCGGGAGCAAATCACGACCACGACACGCTGTATAGCCGCCCTCGCCCCCGTGAACTCCAGCTCATCTCGCTGCTATCAAGTCATCATCGACCTCTGCGGCCGGTTTCTAGGCAGCAATGACGTTGCGATGCCCGTGGCCCCAGCCTCGGCGGCTCAGGCAGGTTCTGCCACGTCTCCTAGCTTTGAGGCCAATACTGCACAAGCCTCGGCTCCTGAACCCATAGATGAGAGCCCCCAGACCCAGATTAACAGCGTATTTTCCATGATGTGGCCCAACGTACCTCCCTTGGAGGCCGCCGACGTTGTCGTGGGCGACGACGCGTGGATGGAGTTTCTCAAGGGAGGGACAAGTGGTGATGGTGACGGGATGTGGTTCGGTAGCTAGTCTGGTTGCCACAATCAGAAAGCCGATCTCAGCAGGGACCCTTGACGGGGAAGGGTATGATATGAGCAACTTCCATTGTGAACCTTGCGGCCTGTCTTCTAGATGACTTCTTCCATGAACTCTCTTCCTGGTCACTCAAAGCTATAGATATGTGTCCTCAGCTCCTTCGACATCAAGCAAGGTCTCATAACATTCCGCAAATTCTCTCCCCAAAACCTTCCATCTCAGCAAATTGCGCCACTCAGATGACTAGAGACTCCTTCACCTCAGTATCGACGTCGTCGTACGACGTTGCATCCCTCGCAACGATTCTCATGGCCCACTGAACCTCGTCCCAAGTCGTCTCTCTGATCGACAGAATGGTTGCTGAACGACCGATTGCGGCTTTCTTATCTTCCGACACCTTGCAAACACATCGACACAACTTGTTCTTTCCGTCGGGTCCCAGGAATACTTTGCTTTGGTCATCCACAGGACCGCCACTCTTCCAACCTTTGAATACGCCACTCAAAAACGGCTGACGCTCGGTGAATAGATCTCGTAGCTGCAAATGTTGCACTCTGGCAACGTTCTCCCGGTTGGAGTAGATCACCCTCGCGAAAAGCTCAAAGAAGACGTCCTGTTTCTCTCGGCTACATTTAGCTTGGGCATTGAGCAGCTCTCCGATTCTGAAGCAAGTGCGCATCATCATCGCCGAAGAGAGTCCGACGACCACAGAGCGGTCCCTCATCTTGTCGGGAAAAGGGGGTCTGACGAACGGTGCTGGACTCAGGCACTCTTTCTGTGCTTCCTTAGGGTTGCTGTCAATACTCGATCCGGACTTTTGATTCGGAGATGCATCAGCCGCAGTTGCTGCGCATTCTGTTACAAGATCCCAGTCGACATCTTCATCTAGAAGATTAGGTTCAGCTAGATCAGCCTTGGGAGAAATGGCGCTCGTGCTCGTATCAGGCTCCGAGAACTGCAGCTTGGAGTCGAAGCTTGAGGCCGATCTCGAATCGCAATCCATCTTCTGTATGACGCTTGAGGGAGCGAGGCAAGGAGGCTTATCTCCCGTACCTTCCAGCAGCTGAATCAACTCCTCTTCATCAAATCCTTCGAGGTCATAGTCATCTTCGATAGTCTCCTCACTCCTGGACGACGACTGGGCAAGGCGGTCGACGTCAAGCTCAGGAAACGGCTTACCGGGATCTTCATCTACATTAGACAAAGTCTCGGATGCGTCACCGTGGTATTCACCGGGTAGTTCCTTCACCGGTACAAACCCCTCGCCTCCTACTTTGTCTAGATTTACGTATTTGTTCATCCAACACTCTGGTGCCTCAGACTCTACCACAGAAACGTGCGAGAAAGTTTGTGTCGGCGGCGTCTCGGGTATCTCAATAGCGTCTCCAGACGGGCTCGGTGGAGTCTGCGGGGTCTGCACGAGGTCCCCAGGGAAGTACTGCTGTATGTGGCTATTCGCTAGAAAGCTGGGTTCGGATGGCATTGTAGGTAGGTTCCCATGGTCGAAGATGTTTGGTCCTACAGGGGCGTCGACAGCCAGCCGCTTCAGCGGGGAAGAAATTGCAACAGATGAAAGTGGTGTCAAAGGTCGTTTTGGAACGTTGATGGGCATGAAGCCGCCAGCCATGTCTTGCATCGTGGAAGTCTAGTCTAGTGGTATGTGGTGCTTCGAAGGCGTCAGTCTTCTGCTGAGTGAGAAGGTTTGAAGAATCATACCTACCTGCTTCTTCCTCAATTTGCAAAGGTCTTCAACAGCATGGATCTAAGAAGACATACACCAAACGGATGTCAAAACCATTGACCAGAAGTAACCCGATGATCAAAAGGGGTAATGTGAAGAAGAAGAGCATGAGGAGAGAAGAGGGGAGAGATTCGAGCAGGCAATGGAAGTTTGTGGAAAGACTTATGCCTTGCTACCAGAACGGAGGGTTGGCTCTTTCCTCCGCAAGAGGTACATCCACTGGTAGTTAGGTGACGTCCCTGGGCCAGGCAGTGGGTGCGATACAGGGCAGGAGCGAGTGTCCTTGCCCGGAGGAAGGAGTCAGTCGGGGAAGGAGCAGAACTGTTTGCTCCTCCCCATCTTCATCGTCCCTTCTTTCCTTGGTTTACGCATATTAAAATTATCTAGCAAGAGGAAGGAAGCGAGGTCAGATCTTCGGGTCTTTTCTGAGTCAAGGTATCCTCCAGGTATACCGCCAGCTCAACGGGATTTGCCGGGTACTCAAAACACCACCGTATAAACCCAGACACCGACCCTTACCACTTCACGATGCCTTCAATAGGCTACCTGGCCGGATGAAGAGTCCACTTGATCACGTCTTGGGCAGACTTGTACGGAATTTCCGAAAACCTATCGTCACGTGTACCGACTCTGGGCACTCCGAGTCACTGCCCTTACCATCAAGGAACACACAATAGAGGGGGTCTCGTCGTTCCTCGATGACCATCGCCGTGCTCATCTGGCAAATATCTCTTTCGCCAGATGGCTGCCCTTTGCCGATGGATGCAACTACATCTAGATCCAGCCATCATAGTTTGTCTATTGACCGACGTCTGTTGAATGTGACCGCTGACGACCGCTATCCTTCGAAGAGGCTACGCAATAGAGCAAGATCGCTCTTCACGAAGTCAAGGAGATGGACCATTATTCACTTGAACACGTGCTGCCTGTTCAACTTAGCTGGCGACATCTCGACATGTGCAGTTGCAAGCCGCTGATGTCGATGCCGCCGCTGGCACGGCAACACTGAGACAAAGACAAGACAACAACGTTAAAGGGTCTCTTCCTCCACCGAGCTATCGACACACCCCAAGCAGCTCCTAGAATGAAGACAGACAATAGTACGATATGAACCTCTATATCACGTATACATCACGAGATTTCCTGCCGAGGACAGAATGTGGCCCCTCACCGAGAGAGAGCGCGCGCCGAGGCAAGTCACGAAGCTATTCGCAACCCGTGGCTCGGTCCGCGGAGCGGAGGTACGGGTCGGAAGTGACATCAACCCGCATTCCCGAACAAGTCAGGAGCTCCAACCGTTCGAAAGGAACAAGACAGAGATCGTCGCTGCCATGCGGTCGACTATCTCGATTTTGTCAATCAGGTACGATGCCGACGCTTTGGTTTCGATGGGAGTGCTCCCAAAGGGACTACGTCAGAAAGAGAATGTGCCCCATTTGGGAAACAAACCCTCAATATAAAGCCGCCTGGGTCTCGCGCGCTGTCGGGTTGGAGGGCTGTCTCAGCGCCACGAACCTGTCTCTCTGTTCAAGACTGAGACCGAGCAGCCGCGGCGGCGGGGAATAAACAACAGTGAAGATGGGGGACAGAAAGATGCCTCGGCGGCTCGGACGTTGGCAAGCAATGGGAGAGCGTTTGGCAGATGGCGGGTAGACCGTCGGCGGTGATGTCAGTCCTTCAGTCAGGTGAGAGCGCACAGAGCAGAGGGTTCTGCGTGGTTGGCGCGTTTGAAAGTTAGCTCCCGCGGAAGTTGGGCCATGTGGTTCCGGGAAGCGCTGCGCTGGCGTACAAGGTGCCAACCTAAGTGCTAACAAGCTATAAGAGGAGGGGTGTGTTGGGTGTGGGTGGTGTGGGTGGTGGTGATGAAGAATGCCCGTGTGGAAGGATTCAAAGTGTAGAAACGAAGGTCCGCACGGGTAGAGGATCGATTAGCCTTTGCTGAAAATAACAATTAATTACCATCCGGTGTTTTCAAATAATACTATTAAAATAATAATAATAATAATAATAAAATGATAGTTTTCAAAGCTAAGATCCGGCGAGAGACATCGGAAAGCTGTGCTTGCTCCCCAAGGTTCAAAGCCGCACATGCTTGCCGGCCTGTTAGTCACCTCAGGCACGGGATGAGATGACACATGCTGGCGCTCTTTCGCCTATGGCTGGCTTTCCATGTGAGGCGCTCACTGAAATCCAAACGATGCAATACCGCAACGTCCGGGACTTCTCATTGCACACCCAGCCCGTATTTTTGACCACTGGCAGACTCTCAATTCCTCCCGGATCTGACGGAGCGGGGGATCAGCCACTCCCCCGTTACTTCGCATGGGGGGCTGGTGCAGTGCGACTCGAGGCGGTGCATCCTCCAAGGTCCCAAAATCGAGGTTGCGAAAGATGCAATGGAGCCGTCCCTCGTTGTGAGCCCAGGCATCAATCAGCTACAGTCATCGATTGGGGATGCCAAATTGTATTTGGGGGTAAGATTCTTGGGGAGGGGCAAAGAAGCTACCTTTGGAATCAGACACAACCTAACTCGACCCGACTCGACTTGCCGGATTTGACTTTTGAACTTCTTTGCCTTTGGCAACCTTTTTGATGTTGAGTCACATCCTGCGAGTAAACGTTCAACAAAGACTCCTTTTGGGATCCTTGGGGGGTGACTTCGAATACGGATTTCAACCAGTCAGTTGGAGCCGCGATGAACACATGGACTGTCTTGCATGAGGTGCCATCAATAAGTGTCAATCCGTCATCCTGGTAGCCATGAGCGGACTGGGCAAAAAGCTCCGTTTACTTTCACTTAATTTTTAATTCTCATCTAATTTCTTTTCTGGACATTCATGGAGACTTAGCGGCATGTTGGAGAGACTGTCTCGCTTGCGAACCAGACCCTGGATGTGGAAAGACAAACTACAAGTGAGACTGCCATTGACGGGGCACTTGACCTATATCCAAAGCTTATCACAGCTCACCATTGCTGGTACGATCCAGAGACCGAATATTTCACTGCGACTTATGGGCAGTATATAGAATGCCATTTGAGCTCCGGGAGGGCAATGATGGGCATGGAAGAGATAATATGAAAGTGAGTGTGGCAGTGGCAGTAAGGGCTGCAAACCAGGTGCATCGTACATTTACCCAACATCTTGGAATCAGAGATGGGCGCATCAGATCTGGTTGATGCAAGCAAAGACATATGACCGGGGACTGCTTGAAAAAACAACATTAAACAATTAAAAAAAAAATTAGAATAAATATAGATAAGCAGAAAATAAAAGATCAAACAAAGATGTTGATTATCTTCAGCTCAGTTAATGGCAAGTCACCAACTCACACACCCACACACACAACTTCTTGACACCATCTTGAACTGAGCCCCACCGTTTTCCCCAGATGACGGTGACGGGACCAACTACAGGCACAGTTGCTAAAATGGTAGCGCCGACGGTCCGCCACCGTAGCCTCACCCCAAAAGGAGTGCTAATCCGCCAGCGCTTCGTTCCTACATCCCACCCTTCTTCACCTTTCACCTTGTTCTCCTTCACACCCCCATACGAATCCCAGGCCTGGGCTCCCAACTCCCGTCCCCTCACCGCTCGGGAGGCTGACTTGGACTTGCATATACACCATGGTCACCAGGTCCTCTTCCTGATGCGCTGGCATCTCTCCCTTACTTCCCAGCGTCGCAGTCGCAGTGCCACGGCTCTGTTTACCATGTTTACCAGCAGCAACCTCACGGAATCGTCATCCTAGAAAGGGCCCTAGAGATAAACTCACCACCACCATCCGAAGGAAAACAAGCCTTGACATCTTCTCGATGAATCGGCTGATGAGGCAGGCCGCGCCGCCTCCGGGCTTCGCTTCTGCTCCCCCCAAATTGGCCTCCCAAGCTTCGACTCCGTCTTCGTCGTATCTCATCGACATCGAGATGAGGGAACAGCTGTCACATCCCACGCACGCAGCCTTCCCGAGGCGCCCCCGTACGTACCGTACCGCATCTGATTGAATACCTTGCAGTTTGGTACAAAATCCTCAACACGATTGATGATGGTGGCGGGCGGGCTGCATTTCCGGTCGGGCACTACACCACCACCCGCTGCATCTCCCGGCGAATCCTCTCCCATGCCTTCCCGCCGCGCCGGTCTGCTGCCAGGACAAGGTGAGCACTGAGCACGGGGGTTTGACAAACACAGGATGCAGAGGATCAGATTCTCTCTTGACCGAGTTGCCAGAAACCGCAAAACGTCGTTGACAGCCTGTCAAACGCCGCCCGTCCCGTCATCACGGGTGCCGCCTTTTAGAGAGCGGTCGCGTCTCGTCCACTCGCCCGTCTCCAACCTCGCAACGTTTCGCTACTTTTATTTCATGTCCCTTTGAAAGCTCACCAAGCTTCTGCGCCTTATATGCAACCGCCGCATTGCTGCATCCGTCGCACTTCCCCGGGCCAACTGGCGTTCGGCCTCTTTAATCGATACGAAATGCACGCCCGCCCAAACCGCAGTGTTTCACACCACAATTGCTGGTAGGTTGATGGCATCTCTGGGGACCAATTTTCTCTTTCGCCTCGGCTAGACCGATAGCCTACCGTTCTTGGACGCCCGTCTACGGTACGGATACACCTCCCACGTTTTCGAGATCAACTTCACCGTTGTGCGATGCGGTTACGGTGGCGTCTGCCGTGCCTCCAGCAATGTCAGCCAAACGTGCAACTATTCCCCCTCTTCCCTCCCCTCATTCAATGCAGCAACCGCGATCGTCCCGATTCTAGATGCATCGCTTTGCCGCCCAAAGGCAGCGGTGATACGGAAGGGCTGCTGATACCCCCTCATGCCTGAACCCTCCACGTTTCCTGGCGAGGGTTACGACAGCAGCAGCAGCAGCAGCGGCACTCCCATACCCGGGGGTCATTCGGTGCCCGCATATGCGGACAAGATGCGAGGCCAGGTGAGGCGGCAAATCGCCGCGCCCGCTGCCGGATTGTCGGTGTGGCTTGGGACCGGACACAGTTTGTCACGTTCGCAGAAGAGGGCCAATGTCACTGTTACAAAATGCCCCCAAATACCTCGAAAATCCAAGTTCCCTCCCCCCTGTGACATACCAAGAAGCAGGACTCAATGTTCCTGCGTCTTGTTGGGCAGCGATTGAGCAGCACGTTCGTTGGTTTCCCCGCGGGTGGCTTTTTTTCGGTGACATTCTTCTCTTTACCGCCCCCTCCATTCTTCTGACCCTTGGCCGGGAGGTGTTTGTGCTGGGCATCACGTTGTTGAGACACGCCAGCCCACGCATATCTGATTATCATGCAGGGTGTCATCCCTCCTGTGCAGCTGTCATTTTTCTGCCAGCAGGTTTACCACGGTTGTTGGCTTTGTTCGTTTATACTTTGATCATTCTGATGACGAACGCTGGCGATGATGCCCAGAATTGCTTGAAACTGACACCTGAATTGGTGCAAGTGGACCTGATTCCCCCGGCTTGGTTGAGACTTGGAGAGTGAGGTTGTTACACGGCGATGCGCAAGGTGGATGCAAGGCTCTCCGTTTGTCACCTCCTTCGATGACGATTTTATTTTTCGAATATTTAATAATTTTAATTCTGAATCGGGAATGAGTAGACTACACCGCATCACTGTACCGATGTCATCCAAATGGTCCACTCGTTTACCTCCACCGTTTCCAACGCCTTTCATGGGGCCCCTCTAACTCTCATGGGACCGTCACCGCCTCGTCGGCCTACCTCAAAACGTGGCAACTTGCATGGGGGTACACAGAACCGGTACTTGCGTAGAGTGCCCTTTTTCCTAGACAGACAGCTACAATGAAATTCATGTCACACTTTGATAAAATATTTTTGCGTGACCATCCTATAGAATTATTTGATGCTCTTGTGGCAGTTTGAGCCGTGTAAGTGTCCCGGTGCTGGTTGGGCCCACCCCTCCGTTGTTTCGGACGGCGCCCGGGGCCGAACTGCATCCACTTCAGCTCCGGCTGGCGGGGAATTCGGCGGTCAAAAGTATCGGCAAAACCGTGATTGATTCCTCCTCGCGCTAACGAACACCACTTCAATCATGCTAGCTTTGTTATTTCGAGCAGAACGAGATTTTAATCCTATTAGAGAAACCCCAGTCACTTGCAAAACATGATTTGTAAGGCAAGCTAGGATAACATCTAGCGAGCGTGACATTTCCTGCAGATGTATCGCTGAGAAGTGAAGCAAAAGGGTTTCTTACTTCACTTGCAGCTCATAAGGCTCTGTAGTCAAGCTAATCGATCTGTGTCTGCCATGAAAAATAAGCCTACTATGCATACACCTGACTTGAGCTATCGGCGTTGCCAGACCTTGAGGGCATGCCATTAACCAGGCCGCCTTGCCTACCTTCACATAGGTACAAGGCGCAACAGATGCATTGTCTACGATGTGGAAACCTTCTGGCGCGCCCGCGGCCGTAACTTGAGTCGTGCATATCCATTTCATGACTGGTTTCTACTATAGAAGATGAGTCGACCGGCGTCGATGCGTCTAGTCTGCAGGTGATTGGTGACTGACAGCCGAAGCAAGACCGTGCACTAACAAGCTTGGCGTTCACTCCCGCCGAGATCTGTTAGCGTGGACGTGTTCGTGCCATATTATGAGTCACGTCGACTAACCGCAACGCAACGCCGCTGAAAGTCTCTCGGCACCCTGTCAGTTCGTGCCTGCGGGTGAGGAAGCGACTCGGAGATTCCACTACATCCGGTCCGGGGCCAAACCCACCTCATCGTCAATCATCGCCACCCGACTTCAAGCAGAACCGTCAAATACAGCCTCTTCGCCTCCACATCATTCCAGACGGCCTCTCTTCGACAGCAACCTTCAAAACTCGCCTTTGCCAGCTAAGGTAGCTCATCAAGAGACAGACAAGCACTGCTCCACCCGCAGCTCATCCTTTCTCCCTGTTCTTTTTTTGCATTTCTTCCCGTTCAGCTCATCCACAATTTCCAACGTTGAGCAACATTTCCCATTCCACACAACCACGCCCAAACATGATTTCCCTCACAAATCAAGGCGGCAACACGCATCAGCAGGCCGTCCCCAGGCCCCGCACCGACCGCGTCGTCCCCAAACCCGTCCCGGAGGCTCAGTCCAAGGATCCCCGCGGCTACCAGCTCGAGCAGCTGCGCAAGCGCTACTCGCCCCGCGAATCCGCCGCCGCCGACGGCACCACCACATCCCTGGTCTTCCGCATCAAGCCCTCGGATCCGGACTTTCCCTTTGAGCTGGAGCACTTGCAGTGCGACCTCCGCGTGCCGGAGGACTACCCCGATGCAACTCCCGTCTTGCACGTGCGGAATAGCGATATCCCGCGCGGTTTCTGCATCAACATTGAGCGGGGGTGGGAGCGGCTTGTCGAGGAACGACGAGGCGCTACGCTTCTCGCCCTCACCTACGCCCTGGACAAGAACCTGGAAACATTCTTGTCTGAGCAGGAGGTGGCTACCGTGAAGTTGGTCACCTACAAGGATGAGGGCGTGAAGGATACCCGCCACCTCGAAGCCGCCGCCATCGCGGCGATCCCGGGCCCGGCGACGCAGATCACCAAGACAGCGTCCCCGGCACCGGCGCCGCCTGTGAGGCACTACACTCCTGAAGAGTACTTCACCAAAGAGGAGATGGCAGCTGCCAAAGCCCGGCGCGCGCAGGAGACGCGGCAGTTGGAGACACGCATGGGACGCCTGTCTTTATACCGCCGTTCCCCGGATGGCATCGTCTACACGCTCCCTCTCGAGCCTCGTCGCCGTGCCGAGCTATCTCCCGGATTACAAGGCGTCAAGACGGTCCATCTCATCGTGCCGCTGCTATACCCGTTGCAACCGCTGCGTATCCAGCTCAACGAGTGTGAATCGCAAGATGCCGAGCCCCTGGAAGAGCTCTACGTACACAAGGCAGCGGAACAGAAGCAGATGACTCTCACGAGCCATCTGAACTACTTGGCTCAGAACATGCACGTCTTAGCAAAGCAGGCAGCGGTGCCGCCCAAGCCTGCTGCTGTTGCTACACAGGCCGTGTCAACGCAGGAGCCTGAAAAGGATCCCAAGGCAAAGGCACAGGCCATGGACGACGATGACCGCGGCCACATCAGAGTCATCCCTCGGCCGCCGGAATGGGGCCGTTCCGGCGCCGACGACGACAACACAGATTCATCAGACAGCTACGACTCAGAAGACGACTCGGACGATGGCGGCGCCGACATCGACGCCGAACCACCCAGCCTCTCCTCCGGCCTCACCCCGGAAAGGGGCACATCCATCTCCTTCCCAACCATTGAGCTCCACAGCATCGAGCTCTTCCAGGTCTCCATCCTCAACCTCAGCGTCAAATGCTCGCGCTGCAAGACCATCAACGAAATCACCGGCCTCAAGCACGAGGTCGCCCAGACGTCAACCTGTCGCAAATGCGCCGCCGGTCTTGCAGCGCAATTCCGCCAGACGCTCGTCCACGCAAACTCGACCCGCGCCGGCTTCGTCGACCTCACGGGCTGCACCGTCTCCGACATGCTCCCCAGCACCTTCATCCCCGTCTGCGCAAAGTGCTCCACCGCAAGCCAGGGCCTCGTCGCCGTCCGCGGCGACGCCGTCACAAACGTCTGCCGCGCCTGCCACGGCAAATTCACATTCAAGATCCCCACCGTCAAGTTCCTCGCCATCTCCGCCGGCGGCCTCGCAGCCCCGACGACGGGACCCGTCAAGAAGGCCGAGAAACTCGGCCTCCACGCGGGCACCCCGCTCCCGGACCGCGGCGCTTGCGCGCACTACCGCAAGAGTTACCGCTGGTTCCGGTTCTCGTGCTGCGCGAAGGTGCACCCGTGCGATCGCTGCCACGACGAGGCGGAGAACCACGTCAACGAGTGGGCGAACCGGATGGTGTGCGGGTGGTGTAGTCGCGAGCAGCGGTATTCGCCCGAGGCGTGCGGGTTCTGCGGCCGGAGTGTTATCGGGCGGAAGGGCAAGGGGTTCTGGGAGGGCGGGAAGGGTACGCGGGACCGCAAGTTGATGAGTCGTAAGGACCCGAGGAAGTTTAAGAGGGTTGGTGGTGGTGCGGCTGCTGCTGCGAAGAAGGACTGAGGTGGAGGATGCGTGGTGATGGTGATGGGATGATTCAGCCACTTAGAGGAATACGCACTTTCCATCACTGAATAATCATCACGGTATTGGCAGATAAATCCAGTGCCTTCCTTCCTCTAACAACAAATACCGGGCCAGGTGACTGAGGAGTGAAAGCCGCGAAGTGATGACTAGTGTTATGATGCTCTACACTCTTCAAGACTCCGGCATTCGAACCTCGGTCCAGTCGGCTCCTGTTGTTGTTTTTTCCGCCTTTTTCCTCTACCATTTAGAGTCATCTGTCTGCTCCTGTAACCCAAGTACTCTGCTTCGCTACTCAATGGCAGCCTTCCTTTGTTGTCATCACAAAGGGCAGGTACTTGGGTGCAGTCCTAGTTTACTTCGCGATACTTGGAGCCGCCCTTCAATGTTTTGGATTTCTAGATACTTGGCTTCGTGGTCATTCATACCCCTCGTTAGTATGAAGATAAATCCATCAACAGACCCAAATCCTCAAACGCCAACAACCCCCATCAGACATCAAAGGCGGCTCCCGCACACCCTCATGACCACAAAACGCAACGGTGATGATATCTTAACTGCCGCCCGCCCCTTCGGAAACCCCACGCAAGCGCCGATCCGACACCATCGGGCGGCACACGGGCGGATAGCATTCGCTCTGCACAATTGAGTTGTGCAAAGGGGGACGGGAGTATGTGTGTTTGTGTACGTATGTGTGGCTGGGTAAAAGATGTGATGGGAATTTTCTCGATTTATCGGCCTCGCGATTGGACGTTATTATTATTCCAATCCGTCACATGAGGGTTGATCTCCAAGCTGTGATTGGGGTAAAATGGCACAGCGAATGGAGGAGCTGAGAGTTGTGAATGGTGGCGCGGTTGGTTAGGGAGGTAAGCGCTTCTTACCACCATCACAGTTGTTTGAGAGGGGGCAAGGGGAGGGGGGGGGGGGGGGGGGGGCTGAGGAGTGACTTGTGACGGATTTGCTGGGGGAAGAGGATGGGAAATGGAATATTACTGATATCTCAGGTGTACCAGGGTCAGAAAAGAAATTGACAAAATAATATGAAATAAAATAAAATACCCAAGTCTTTGGCTAGAAGAATTATCAAAATATTACAATATTTTGATTTTCTTACCCCAGCTCACCCAAGTATCTTCCCGATCTAATACACCCTCTTGAAGACCATCTCAACGCCACCATCGTCTCCACGCCCGCCCATCAGCACCAGCCAAATTAGCTCTTCTCTACGGAGTACCTTGCATCAAAAAACCCCATCCTATTGAAAACCCCCCATGTCTCACGCCGGGAACAAAAAAAAGTGAAGAGACACCACGAGAGAAGATTGAGAAAAGCCATCTTCCGTACCTAGTCACTATGCGAAAAGAAACAGAAAGTCAAAAACACCCTTTCCCCCCCCCCCCGTGGGCCCTCCCCCCTCCATCACATCGTTCAAAGAAAAAGCCCACGAATCAGAGTCGCGCATTCTCCCCGGGGTAAGGTTCACCGGCTCGCCGGGGGCCACCGGGACGACGTTCCCCGGAGAACCCAACCCGCTGGATCTACGCCGCGCGCTAACGCCGCTTCCGGAGTTCGGGTCCGTGCTTCTCTGCTTGGGCATATCTTCCTCTCCCCTTCCAACGCTCACGAGGGGGAGGGGAGGAGAAAGATCAGATCAGATGTGATACCCTGAATCCTTCTGCAGTGCGCACCCCTTGTGATCACCCATGGTGGTGCCCTTGTAGGCGAGGAAAGAACTGCAGGACGCGCCGCGTAAGTTGGGTATGGGGGGAGGAAACTTGCGTGACAGGAACGGCTCGGCTGGACGTGAGATTCTGCGGGGACGTCGTGAGTCAAAGGAATTGGACGGGGCCGGGGACGAAGGAACTTTGGCATCCCGCAAACATGTGATGATACAACCGCTCACCGGTGAGCATGGGGCGGATATAACGAGTGACCTCATTTCGGTCAACAAGCCTCCTGGAGTCGATTCTTCGCCGTTGACCCGAGGTGTTATTGCTGGCAAATTTTGCTACAGATATGGGTTCGGAAACTGTCTCTTTGTGTGGCATGTCTCTCCCTGAAGCAATGGGCTCTCAACGCCCGTCATCACTACCCGAAGTGAGGCGTTCCAGTTCGTGGACTCGCATTTTGACTTTGTCGGCGCCGTCTGTTCGGAAGCTCGCCCGCGGAGGCAATAGAGATCTGATAGCTCGTCTTTTAGCTTCCAACAGCTCTCCGGGGAACTTTTCCCATGTTTCCTCTAGCTAGCAATCCTCATTACATGACCAATTTGATTCACGTTAGCAGGAACTCTTTAGCACCATGCCGCGAAGATCAAGATGAATGGAAAGATTTGAATCAGGCCTAGATTGAACGAACTAGTCCGCCTTACCACCGGGGAGTTCTTCCCCTAGTGTTGAAATGGCACCGGTCACAGGAGCTACAATAGCGCGAACGCCTGATGGCGAATGAAATTTTATATCATCACCACATACTTTCCCAAGCTACGCGAGACAGACCTTTCTCTACTTCACTTGGCCGTAGCAAGGAAAACAGCAACCCCCCCCAAAAAAAATGCAGGGCCGGTGTGACGCTCTGACGTTCTCCCGGCGCATCATCAAGTCCTCGGGGTGGCTGCCCCGGGATTCCGGCGCATGTAGGATTGGTTGATGGTTCGCACTCCCGCTCGCGTCGGCAGCCTCTCCGAGAACCGCGTCGGTGCTACCCTTCCACTCCTGAGGGGCACGAACTGTCGAAAACGTCGTGGGTGTGTTGTATGCGACGGCGCGGGTGACGGACGTTCTGGCCGCCATGCCGTGCGGCTCAGTCACGTTGACCGGATACGCCTCCCCGGATTCTTGGTTGCCACCCAGCTGTGACCATGTGTCTCGTTACTTGAGAGGGCTCTTTCATGGTCTCGTCATTGATTCTCTTATTGGTAATCAGTTATGGTGAAGGATCCAAATGACTCCAAGGTCCGTCTCATATTGAACATGTTGGCTTTTCACTATCGTTAGCTTGTCTGACCTCTGTCGTATGGTATCGACAAGTCATTGCCGTGCTTGTGTAACCGTGCTACGAATTCGTCCTTGTGCGTATACCATTTGCCCCGGGTTTTCTTCCCCATACCCCATATTCAGCAATTATCCTATGAACACACGCCCTTTATCTACGCGACTCAAGCCGGCCATGTCGCGATATGAAGCATACACCCCAAACTTGCTCCGTGTCGCTAGAGTTTTCTTCCGACAACTTCTCATCTTGAGTCGAGCGTCCAAAACCCGCTTCATCAATATCCCAAGGTTATATCGCCTAATAATGCCGTCATCGAAGTTGGCTTGTCCGTGTCAAGCAATTGCATGTGAAATGCCTTTCCTGACTCCCAGACAAACAGCCAACGTCGCAAGTTGTGCAGTAGGAACATGAAAGCAGAGGAAGCTGTGGATTTTCGACATGTGAAGTTGCCCCAAGCTTCCTGTGCCATGAATCAGCGACCAGAGCCCGCAGGGTCCTCTGTAACCTCTATAATAGTGAAGAGACGTATCCGTACGAGTAAAAATAAGGTCAAGTCCGTCCCGAATACAGAGCATCTCTTCGGGGATCCCCATGACCTCGTTCAAAGTTCCTCCCCTGCCTCTCAGTCTTCCATTCAAATCACGATTTTACTCTCGTCCCAGCCGGGCCTCTCATCCGAATATATTAATGCGAGCTTTCTACGAGCCATACATCGACGAACTCTCGGCTGGGATAAGTTGGGATTGATAGCAAAGTTGTTGGTGACTTGGTGAATCCTCCCCCCTCCATGTCTCCCCCAACTCTATGCGCTACCAGCAACCCGTATTTCCCCGGGTCTTACGTATATCCTGTGATGCTCTCAACTTGGGACGACGGAAAACATGACTCCACTGCAGAGCCCCCCTCCCCTCCTCCACCTCCGCCCTCCACCCTTTTTTTTTGTATCGCGCGACTTTCGTCATGCGCATGCAGGTACGCGTTCGACGAGGAGGAGGTGCTTCATGCGGCGAGGGGGTGGTCTGGACCGGTGGCTCCAGCTTCCCTAGTTTTTGTTCTATTTTTTTTTTTCACACGTGATGATTTGTGATGGCTGAGGCTCTGCCTCTCAATCTGCGTAGGACGTCTTGCTTGTGGTGTGCTTTCCTAGGTGCTGTCATTGGATCCCAACAACTGAATACTTTTGACTGAGCCATATGGATACTCTCATTCACTAGCTTGACTCTTCCCTCTCGTCCCGGAAATTATCCAAAGAGCCGTCAGTCTTTAGCCTAGAAAGATCCCAAGCGAAGCAGTAAATGACCCGACGAATTCCCTCGGGACGGCGGCTATGACCCGACACCTGTGTAAAGTTACCCCGCAAAAGAACTTGCAAGAGCCGCTGAAGATGGGCATGACAGCTCGCTTCTACCACAGCAACGGATACGGGGAAGAGGGGGGGGGGGGGGGGGGGGCCCATGCCATTGCCATGCCATGCTTGGCCAAAGTTTGGCAAAGTGTTCAAGGATCAGAACTGCCTGCCGGTCCTGGGAGGGTCGCAGCCATAATATCATGTGGTTGCTTTACGATTTGCTCGTACGGATCCGTATTACATTTGTATTTATTTCTGAGGCTGACAAATGTGCCCTTTCAAAGAACCCAAACCCGTTATCACCCTTCCTCTCCGCAAAGAAGAACGGCTATACCCCTCTCCCCCTACCATTTTCGACGCCCGACGAACAGCATCCCCTGTCTTCAATTCGTGCTCGAGAAAAAGATTACCAGGTTATTTGGAGGATGGGGAGTCAGTCAAACAAGGACTGCCCAACAATACTCGTCTCCAGAGTCCAGACTAACCCCCGTTCTCGCTGGGAAATCGGCCGAAATCTTTCTTCACCTCATCCACACCTCGTAAACTCGTGACAGGGACGGTCAACCCCAAGCGCATCCCCCATATTGTACGGATAGTCGTAAATGCACTAGGATTGGGGCGAACCATTGGGCCTAGACAAGTTGTGCCATGTGCCATGTGCCATAGGCCCTTTTCTAGCACGCAAAGGAGCCGCAGTGCTACCGACCCTTTCTCCGACCTGTAGCATCAGGCGAGGCTGCTTGGAACCATAGGATACCTAGGCAGCGCGGTCTTGATGCCTTTGGTGTACGGATACATGGAAGTGGCGTGAATTTGATGATGTAGCCTCCATGCTACTCCCGAATCCCGACGCAAATTCAGCTATCCGCACTTAACAAGTTCACGCTCACATTCCGAACGGGAAGCGGCAGCCGCCCGACTCGAAGAATTTTCCATGGTGGTGCGTTGGTGACAAATTCGAGAGCCGCGTGTGGTCAGTCAACCCCCGTGGTATCGGAGAGGCTCCGAAAGAAACATGAACCCACGCGACATACGGAGGTCTCGGAAGGTGCCTAATTTTGCCGTCATAACGCCGTAACTTCCATGCAAGGTACGGATCCGACATGTTCGTGCTATTTCGACCTGTCATCCAACTTGAAAACTCCACTATCAGTAGGGTATCCATCCGTATGCGAACCAAAAACTCTGCGAATCTCCCCCACCCCATAGTTCATCGAGTCGAAAACATCGTGAACTTCAGAGTGAGAAAAAAAAAAAGAAGAAAAAAAAAAAGGCCCCATGTCTCGAATCTCGGTGAGGCCTTACGCAATAGCCACGGTTTGAGTAAAAAGCCCAAGCCCGTCTCCATACTCCATAAAGGCCCCCTCCGATCGTCCCAAAATCTGGCACCCCCTTCCCTGGGCGACCACAGCGGGCCGCGCAAGTCTTCTGGCCCCCGAAGTTTTTTTGAGTGTAAGACGCGAGGGGAGAGAGTCATGTTCGTGGTCTTCAAATCTTCAGTGCGTCGTCGGTGCACGTTCCTTCGATATGCCTTCCAGACCTGCTCTACTCTAGGCCATGGGCTACCTGCAATCAAAATCGCCTCACTCGTAGCGAGCCCGTCATCGTGTGGCAATGGACGGAGACAGATGGGTAGGTTCTTCTAGGGTCGTTCCAAACTTCCGGCCGACTCATAGATTGTAGCCCTGTATCGTAAGGTATGCCTTCTTCCCATCTGAGCGCAACCACCAAAAGACCATTTGCAACCTACAACGACGATACCTTTACGTACATGTAGTTCAATAGAGGTTACAAAAGAAGGGCCGGCCGGTACTGACTTCCCCAATGGGAGATCAAGGTTCCGTCATTATCTGGTTCACGAGGGGGGCTCTCGAAGTGCAAGTCTTTGGTCGACCGGCAATCTGCGAGTCATGGAGCTGGCTCGCAATGAAAAACTGGGATGAGCCTGGCTCCGGGACGCGGTTCCGTACCCGGGTGGTCGCTACCACGATGCTGGGGCCGTCAAACAAGGAGGATGGGGGGGGGGGGGGGGAGGAGGAGGAGGGAAGAGGTTTGTTTCTGTGACAGGCCGACCCCTTGTTGAAATGAGAGAGGACGTGCGCGGTGTTCTGGAAGCGCAGTTGGAATATTTTTGAATTTGGAGAAAACCTCCAATGTATTTTTGTTTTATTAAATATTAATATTATTCTGATTTCCGTTGCTCGCACGGCCGTGAGGACGGACCGTTTCTTGACTCGCAGCTCTTCCGTCTGTTATCCGTTTTTTTGCTTGTTGCTCAGTTTCGCGGTACTTGATTAGGAGTCACTGAAAGCATCGTGGATTTGAATCCTCGATGTGATGACAATAAAGGCATCGGTATTATCTGCAGCAAATGGCGGGATTCCACCACAAGCGCGCATATGGAGGGAGAAGAATGTTGTGTCACCCTGCGGCGCGACTTGGCTGAGTTTGTGAACCGAACTACCGGAATTCTGCCAGGGGAACGGAAACCATAACTTTGGAGAGTGACGTTGCCGGCATCGATGCCAAGATAACGGAGGGCGAACATGAAAACGGACGAAGATACAACAATTCGAGGAGAGGAAAAGAAAAGAAAAATAAATAAAATGTAAAGCGTCGAATACGTACATCCAAACGCAAGGTCACAATCCGTACAGATATGCGGAAAATGGTCAAAAAGGGGCGGGACCTGGAAGTCGACCCGCCGTTCCCCGGGGCCCCGAGATCAGAGAGATCAGACTGAAAACCAAACAGACGTGGCGACGAGTGTAGTGCTGGACCGCCTGGAATACACCCTTATGACTCTGGTAAGTGGTCGGAAAGGCTGCGAGAATCCGCCCACGGGCAGAGAGAGAGAGAGAGACACACACACCAGTTCGGATTGTCATCCGGAGGCCCAGCGACGTTCTGCTTTGACAGAGAAGGGTTCCGCGGCCATCAAAGCGTTGCTGCTGCGTCCACGCCACTCTCTCCTACTACTACTCAGGCGTTCAACACACCAGACGTCGCTGCCGTCCATGATTCCGTCCATCCATACCCCTAGGGCGCCGTTTTCTCTGTGGTCGAGCGCCGCATCGACCTGCGCCAGCCGGTCGGGCGAAGACTTGACGCCTGGAGCCTGGAGCAGCGTAGCAGCGTGTTCCCTCTCTCTCTTTCTTTCCCCCATCTTCCCTTCCCCCAGACTCACCATCCTTGGCTCTTCTGTCTTCCCCCATGGAGGGAGAGAAGACTGGATAGGTGGACGGGCCAAAGATCGTTTTCGGCGAAAGGGAACCGGTCAAGTGACGAGGCCTGTAAACTCTGTATGGCGAGGCTGTCCGCCCCCTAGATTTCCAACATGGGATGGAAAGAGGGGAGGTTTCATGTCTTTCAATGTCGGATATTGCCATCGGTTATGGGGGGGGGGGGGGGGAAAGAGACTAAGAGTAAGACACGGCGCGGAGCCGACTGCGATTGCGAAGTGACATTGGGACTTTGAGGAACTAGAGAGAGAAAGATCTCTAGACACTGCTTCATCGACGAGCGCGACGCAGCATTGGCAAATGGCCTGCTATTTTGTGGCGTGACATGTTCGCCAGGAATGTCGCCCTATCGATGTCCCGAAAGCACGCGCTGGCACGGTTGGAAGACATGCTGTACGGAGTACGGGTAAGCCTGTAACGGTGTAACCTACCTGCGGACACTTCACGACGGGTCAACGTTTAGCAGGATTGTCAAAGGCCTGATTAGCACATGTCGCGTGGCTCACTTCAGGGTTGTAGGTTTCGCGGCTACTCACTTCTCACCCCCACCCACCCCCCTCTCCCCCAGACTGAACTTCTGAAGCCATGCCTCTGGCTCGTCTCCCCTGCCCCTTGCCCTTGACTGCCTGCCTGGGCGTTGACCGTCACGAGGGCACCATGGATCGGCGGCCTGGGCGCTGGCAGCTGGCACCGCGCATTAGAGCTTGTCCGCGTCAGGTGCCGAGGTGCATATCGCTTCGAGGTGGCTTCGGCATTGCTGGCTGGGAGCTGTGACTTTCTCACGAGGGGGAAGCTAAGCAATGCCCTCGATTCAATGGACCATCTGCCATGTTGCTCACATCTTGGATGTCGTGATTGAAATTTGGTAGAGGTTGTCCCCATTGCAAACAGCATCTTAGCCGGGCAACTCAATCTTGATCTCCGGAACACCTCGGGCTATAGGCTGTAGCAAACGGCATCGGCGATAGCTGGTTCGGCCGGAGACGTAGCTTTTGGCACCAGGCCCAAGCTTTCGGCGATGGCCAGGCCTGGGTCCCGAGCTCAGTCACCTGCTCACCGGGCCCAGCCTGCCCTGCCTCGCTTAAGGAGCTGCCGGCGTCGCCGGCATTGCGGGAGAGACCACATGAGCCGCCTACGAAATTGGTTCGGCCGCGAACTTCGAGGTTTGGTGGCCTCTCGGTAATTTGTACGCATATTGCCGCAGGATCAAATGATCGAGGTCTGAGTAATCCATGAAGCTTCAACTGGAATGTAGGACCTTCTAATTCGGCTTACGGGGAATGGTATACGGAGTACAATACGGAGTAATACCATGAAGAGCGTGTAAGGAGTCAGCTCCACCATGATAGGCGCGACGCCGTGAGTGGGAAGTAACATACGTCTATCACACATCTCGACTGTCCAAAGTTCAGCTCAATGTACCAGTGTGTCGAACTGGGCAAGAGGACGCGTTCAGTTTGCGTGACTGCTTCACCGATGGGAACTAGATTTATACGTCAAATATCAGAAAGACGTGTTCGGCTTACAAAGAGACGAGGGCGCCTTCCCGCCGTTTTGGTTCTTCTTTAGATTATGCAAGGCAGCGAAGATGGCCGACAACTGGGCCAGAGTCACTTACATTGGCTTCGACAAGTTTGATACAGAATGGAAGATTCGCAGTGAAACTGTCCAAGATTCGACTTTGGGTATTTTCGTATCAGAATACCAGTCAAGCCGCAAGTGCAATGCCCAGGAACAAAATCAATTATGTACAGCGCACAAGTCTTTGCGATGAGTAACGGTTCCCGCTTGACATCTCATTGCCTATCAACCTCGAGACAACAGGAGGACAATATCCATATACCGTGTGCCAATGTCGGATTTATCTGTGGTGAGGCTTCAGTCTGTTCTCATACACCATGCCGTGGAACCCGGAAGAAGTTGCGGACGACATGCCGGGTGGGTACCGGCGATCCGGACTTGTCCCGGAGCCCTGCTCCACAGTCAGGAAAGAGAAACGGCATCTGCCACACGGAGGCTTACGGTGCATCTCAGATGCTGCTAATTTTCGAATCGTTCTTCGGGCATCAAGCAAATCTACAAGCTTCTCATCAGTGGTCGCTCACGCCATAAGTTCTCAATCCCATATGTGCTGGGAGATGTTGCGAAGTCGATATCATGCCTGCAATGGCTGCACCCAAGGAAGTCTTTTTTCAGTCGTCAGCATCTTGGCCACAACCCTCCATCCGATATCTCTCACCTCAGCAATACCATCCCAGCAGTGGCCATGCTTTTGGATTCCAGCCGAAATCAGTGGCAAGCAAAGAGCGCTCGCGTGATCACTGCCAAAACTCAGTTGAGCACCCCATACCAAAAACACCCGAACGAACCAGGAACAGGTGCACTACTTGGATCTTTGAACCTCCAAACGGGGGATCGTAGAGACTCTGTTTCTTCAAGCGATCTCTATGCCGCATCAAGTTAGCAATGGCAGACCATCACTAGTCTGACAGCACGTCTAGCACTTGACGCTGGAGACATCTCATTGCCGCTCCTTACTGCTGCGCCTCACTGCCGAAGAAGATGGTTTCATTTGTCTCGGATGTCGGGGGCGTTGAAAAAAAATTAAAAAAATTCTGGGGTAATAAGCAACATCAGGCTGAGGGTTCAGCCCGAACGCTGAAAGTCCCGAGATGGGGGTGGCCTTCTCGGTGTGACGGGACAGGGTTCATGTTAGCAGCTTCACTCTTCGCTTGAAGCTAAGTCGTCCAAGACAATTGAATATCGGCAGAATACGAGATGGATATCCGATCCGCGCATTGTTGAGGGACGAAGCTAGAGAACGGAATTGACGGGTTGGAGTAGCTCGGAAAACCAAACGGTCGCTCTTTCGGAATATCGATGAATAACGTGGCATGGTTGCAGACGTGTCCAACGTCAAGCCCCAAAGAGTCAACCGCGTTTCCTTGTCTTGTCGTCACTAACCGTGTGCACACGGGACCTGCATTTGTACTGCCAAGTGAGAACGGATAAGTTGCAATAGCCGGTAGATCCCAACGGTCTAGATCTTCTGACTCGAACGGCAGTTTGCGACGCCAGTGAACCCCGGCATTCCGCTGCAGGGTCACCAGAATAATTAACGTCCGGGGAACGCTGTCCCGGGGTAACGGAGGACAAATGACCGGATGACGACGGCGGCGCTGGTGTCCCTCTCATCCTCGGTGAGAGCGTTTCGGCGGAAAGGTATTTTGACGAGCTGAGTTGAACTACCTAGACGACGGAAGGGAAGCTTGACACGTGGATCTCGCGGAGAAGCACTCTACCGGCGTGGAACATGGGGGGCCACCCTCCCTCCATCTTCCTTCGTTTACGTCTCATGGGCCATCACACATTTCAAGCTTCCATCCAAGTTTTGATCTTGCCTGTCGTGAGATTTTGAACCCATTTCTGATTCGAAGATAATTGAAAAGCGACTCGCAAGTTTGCTTTTTCCTCGAATACTTACCTACACACCTCTCTAGAGTAGGTTTCCTCCGAATTGTTATTCCCCCGTCTTCACACCACCATCTCTCAAGGCACAAGTAAACGCCGATGACGTGGTTCGCGTTTCTTGGGATGATATGTCCCGTCCCTGATCTGCCCTCACCCTAGCAAGGGGAGAAGCTCTCAGATGCAGGATGGATACTCGTGAGAAAAGCAGGCAAATAACAGAGTTCACGCTTACTTCCCCCGCTGCAATGAAACGATGCCTCAAGTCATGAATCTCATTCTCCCCCCTCCCCCTTCACCCCAGGAAGTAGGCGTGTGGAAATGGGGTGTCATTGCTTGGGGTTTCGCGAGCCAAATTCAGGCCATTGTTCAATTGACCCGCACAGGATTGGATGAACGCCATAGTCACCGAATAACGAGACTTGACCGATGGCCCTTGTGTTGCGTAGGTATTTCACTTTCTCTCGCGTCCTTTTACATATCCGCTGGCCAGTGCTTTTTCACATGTTCCCCTTGACGCTCCCACATGCGGCGCAAAAGGGGACTGTGTCTGCAACTGCGAAGCGTTTGATGTTTTTCCTTGCACTGTCGTTTCGTTGATGTGTCGCTCAAACGCCGACGGAAATTCCGTATTACTGAGCAAAAAGCAATGAAGGTTGCGCGCGCGCGCGCGCGCCCGCGCCCACGCTGGCCAACATCTTCTGAGTGATGATGGTGTACGGCTTCAGGGGTCGGCGTGACTTGGTGCGTCTTGAAAGTGAGACAACTGAGCCCTTCTAACAGGCTTCTATTCGTCGGTTCGTTTACATGGTTGGCCAACGCTGCGGGATTCGCAAGGCTAATTACTGTGTCGTAGATGGCCAGGTAATCGCCGACTGGTGTCAACTTTCCCCGGGGGCCCGGAGAAAGCCATGGGTAAATTGAACCCGAGGGTCTGGGAGGATAAATGACAGGTTCGCGCGCGGATACGACCTCTCCCAGCCAGCTGCCAGACTACTGGAATTCCTAAGAAGACAACCGGTTTCGAACGGCGAGCCTACGTCGAGTCGAGGATGAAGAGCTGACGCCAGCCAAGGATCGTGAAAGTTTAAGCATCGTTCCGAAAAGGACTTTTCCCCATCAAGAGCTTACGCTTCCTGCATTCGGGATGATAGCCCGCTTGAAAGCTTGGCCTCTCTTGACTGCGGTAGTCTTGGGGCCGCAACTACGTATACGTACATGGTCCCTCGCAAGCAACCGCAATCTGCTTGCTAGCCATCGGAGATGTGTACACTAATTGGTAGCAAGCGCAAGTTTTGGGTTGCCGCCCAGCACGTGTTGGTGTGCAACGATCTGGTGATGGAATTGTTCTAGAAGGTGGGTGGGGAGGCCTTCCGTTCCAGGCAATGAGTCCCGGAAAGCTACGAAGAGGGGCCGGACGAGAGGCCGGGGAAGGGAAGCCGGTGAATTGGAGGGAGCGTGTCGGTAGGGTGGCCTTGGTTGGTTGAGGAGGGAGGGGGGGGGGGGGGGGGGGGGGGGGCGTGGTCTACTCTCCGGCGGGGGGGACTAGGTGACCGGCGGGGGGACTAGGTGTCCGGCGGGGTGTTGGAGGTTGGAGATGGAAAAGCGCAGACGGCATGGGTCAGTCAGTAAGAATGAAAGAATAAAATAAATAATAAAAAAAGCAATAAAACGAGTAACTAGTAGGTGTGGTGGTGGGAGGTGACGATTGGCGTAAAGGAAGGTGAGAAGGATATTGATGGCTCCCCCTTGGCGAGGCCGGGTCCGAAAGCTTCGGGAATGCGCTACACCACGAAGGGGAGAGAACCCCGAGGTCTACCGAGCAAGGTGTGGTGGCCCCGGATTGGGTGTGTGGTCGCTCGAATACATTCGTTTTTTCCACGAGATGGTGCCGTGAAAGGACCGACGGTGGAAAGTCTGAAAGAAATCATCGAAGATCTCATCTCAAGTCTATCACTTTTGGTAACCATTTGGGTTAAATGGAAATGGAGAGGGTTGGGAAAGAGAGATAGAATGACGCCATCGGCAGCCTACTCGGATTTTTTTCTCTTTTGATTACTGTCTTCTGTCTGACGGCAGGGTAGTGTTGACAAGCGGGAAAAAAGACCGCTTTAGGGCCAACGGTTGGGAAAGGCGATGCGGCGGGCATTGTCGCGAACAATGAAGATCATGACGACGAATGAGAGGAGCGCGTTTGTTTAGTCTTTGAACCACCAACACCAAGGCATTCAAAGTCAGAGAAGCGTTCGAATGCGGCCGCGATGTTTGTAGCTGGGCACTATTCAATCCTGAGCAGATTCGTTGTACTCTCATCGCACCGAAGTCGTGAAATTGTGTAATGGACTTTGGGAGCCGTTTGGCTTGGCTGAGCTCTATTGGAGCTGGAACAGGAGGACCCTGCAGCTTTGGTTGTTACACTGCGCCGAACTGCAAACTTGGGATCAGTAAAATAATGGTATGTCCTTCTTCCCCGACGCCTTGGACACACGGCTCGGTGACGGTCGGTCAGTGCTCTGCGCTTCGGACTTCCCTAGCATCTGGCCACACTCAATCACTACCTTTGATGTTTTGGCGTTTGGGGGTGGTTGGATAGCTAGTCATCGGGGTAGCTGTCATGAAGGGTCAAAACCAAGGACGGAGAGAAGCCCGTCGGGGGGGGCGTTTCTTTTCGAAATAGTCATCCGTCCAAGCAATAGCCGCGGTGTACCGTTACAAGATGGCTAGAAGTATCCTGACAAAGTACCAGATGGTACCATCAATCCTGAGTCGTTATTTCCAAAAGGTTTTTAGGAATACGCCAGGTCATGACAGATGTGCACCATCATCGAAGCGCATGCTAGGAGGTGTGAAGAGCGTTGTGAGAAACCCATTAACTGCGTCGGAACAAGGGGGAAGAGGCATAGGGCCCGGCCGGCAACGCGTAACGGGAGCCCCCCGTCTGCCGTACAAAATCCATGTCTTGGACTTTTTTGTCCCGAGGAGGGTGTTGGTAGAGAGACGGGTAGACGCTCCAATAGTGATGGGGTTGTATGACATCAAGCCTTTACCCCATCGGCGATGACAGGTTTGTTGTCGCGCCAGCATTGGGATAGATCCTCAGCAACTCCCATTCCCGAAATGATCACACCCCAACGGAAAATCAGTCGAAAAATGGACTGTGGATAGCAGGAAAATATCAGATCATGGGATCTGTGGGATCTGACTTGGTCGATGAGAGCACTGTACCCAGTCAGATATGGTGATCGAAGTCAGGGAACCTGACACGGATTCCCGTTTCTTTGGAACGAAATTGACCTGGGCGAACGTCACTGACGTCTTCTTGGGGTGGAGAACTTTTAAGGGACCACGGGGTTCAAGACAAAAAGAACTCAGATCAAATCTGGGGAAAATTGGTCACCCGAGCTCCACGATTTCGTCAACTTCCAAAGTCAGCCTTGTCGATGGGGTCCTGCGTCCCAGTTCCAGACCTCAACGGTTGCCGATGGGATGGCCTGGAATAGACGAACGAGTCAAACCCCTTGAGTTTATTGGAAGAAAAAACAAGAAAATGGCAAACATCGTAAGGTGCACGAGATTCACGCGGAAATTGATTGACGTGTGGTTCTGGGGGTCCGGACTGGAGTCCAGATGTCGGATCCGGGGTAGACGATAACGTCATGTCCCCCCCCCCCCCCCCCCCCAACCTGGGGTGTCCTCTGTTTCCCCGTCAGGGTGGTCTATCATTACGGGATGAGGAATCTCCATCTCATAGTTGAAACCACAATTGACTCCGTTTTGACGTCTGTCGAACCCCAATTGTGGAAAAAAAAAAAAATGAGACCGAAAAATATCGAGAAAAATAACATAATGTTAACTACCCATGAATAACACAAACATTTATTAAAATGATTAGCGCATGGGGAACTGAACAGAACCCAGTTTTTGGACCGTTTCAAGCTCCGAAGAAGCAATCGACAGCAGGGAAACTATACACGCGCACACCCATGAGGAACTCGAATTAGGCAGTCTGCATCTGTATGCAGAACATGCTGCAACGATACAGCCCAAAGGGGGGGAGACGAGTGGGGGTTCGCAGCGCGAATAAAGCAGATCCGAAATGCACGTCAAAAGTCGGTGAGGCAAGCCGTACCGCTCGGCTGACTGCCACGACAACAAAAGAGGTGTGGAGTTTCTCTCGTCTTTTTCCAATCGCATTTTTGGTGGTGAGGGGCTATCTGTACACCACACACCCACGAAGAGAGAACGAGGGACAACACCAGAGGGGGGAGGGGGGCAGCAAAGGCGTGATTTATCTTGTTGTTGTGCTTTTTTCCTCTACAACGTATTCGTAGTGGTGTCCTGCAACACCTGATAGCTTGCTCTACTCTGCATCGGCCCCTCCATCCTCGATTGCCTCGCCTTGAGCTGGCTCTGAAGCTACCAAAGCTACCTCGTCAACGGCGCCTCGTCGCGGGAGGGAGTCCCGGAGCCGGCAGCGGCTTTTGCGTGGGTGCTGTGGCTGCTTGAACGAGTGTGTGGCAGTCGTCAGCCACCAATTGAGTTCTGGCTACTCATCACCAACTAAACAACTGGTCCTTAACTTTCAATACCACTCGCTCAAACCTGATGCCTCCTTGCATGTTGCGTTCTACTAAGCGTATTGGGATATTGAGAGAAATGTTTAATTGCAAACCAATTCATGTCACCAATTCGTTCTCGGTTTCAAAACGGTAGAAAGGGGATCACGCGATGTGAAATTTGAACAACCACCACGCAGAACCTCGACCCTACTGTTGCAATTGCGACTTCTCGCCTACGTCTCAAACTCGAACTAAGGCAGGCCAACCACCGATGTTGGACAACTCACCACCTCCCTCCTTTCTCCCGCCGCTAATGATCAGAGACAGAGAGAGAGAGAGAGAGAGGGCAAGAGATGACCAGTCAACAGAATTTGCAGCTCCACGCGGGCAATGCGCAAAGAAAAGAAGCGGTTACACACCCTTTCTATCCTTTCCCCGCCCCTGCGCGGCAGCTGAAGCTAAAGATTTTAGAAACAGCATCAACCGCCAACGACATCCTCATCGTCGGCAGGGCGGTGAAGAAATTTCTACCGTCTACCTTGAGAGGTGGTAAACCGACCTTGCTCCTCGGCTATTGAAGAAAAAAAGCGTCTCGTGGCCTAGCCAAATGCAACCCCCGCCATAGAGGCAGAACCCGCCCAAGAAAGAAAATACTTATTACGTGCAGTATAACGATGCGGGGTGGTCCCTCTGCGCGTATACTATGCAGTAGGTCCTTTAGCTTTCTGGCCCTTGATCAAGTCTCGAGGTGAAGAGTCATCGTGCGCCCTTGTAGTTAGTAATCTGACGTGTTCTTCTGGAATTGCTTCTCTTTGGTGGGGTTATTCGGAAAGTGAGGGGGGTTCAGGGCTTTTCCAACACTAAATTTGCTTTATATTCTCCATCTCGAGAATTGAACCAAACCAAAATGCCTCGTTTTCCCAGGGAGGGGGTGAACGTGAAGACTGAAGCTTGGGCATCAACAATGGCTCCAGGGGAAACAGTCATACGCACAGGACCTGGGAGGGGGACAAGCATTGACCTGGCCGGTGGCCCAAAAGGAAGCAAAAGCGATTGCTTCCTCTGCCCCTCACCATCATCGCCCTCTCCCCGCCGCGCCAACATGGTCTTGGAGGGGTAAACGGGGGATGGGGTGTAAGTGTAAGTCCCCCCCCCCCCCCCCCCCCCCCAGGTAGGTAGACTCAAGAGGCATCGTGGGCCCCCCGCGGCTACGTGCGGATGCAGAGTACTCAAGTCTCAAAGTCCCTGCAGGATCTGTGACCGTCCCATGACGGTTCCGCATCCCCGAAGGAAGGGAGGCCACGATCCGGTACACCGTGACCCCGTCCGTTCAGCTACAGCCGACAGCCTACAAGGCATTCCGCATATCCCGCCACGCGCCTTCACTCAATCTCTCTCGGGCATATCCCGACGATTGATTCACCCTACAGCCAGGGCTGCTTCCAGCTATACGCCCCGAGGCATGAGGCACGAGGTAAGAGGCAAAACTCGGCCACCATTTCAAGCGTCTCTTTTGCCATCGTCATAGGATCACCTGCGCAACTATCCAGGCCACCGAGAAGAGGCAGCCGGACGTACCGCCCGTTTCTTCATCGCCGCATAGGCATCCAAGATCCCGCCCCGTCCGAGTTACGCCTCGCCCGAACCGCGGCGCGGACGTTTCCCCGCGCAGCACTGAACGGGACGTCCCTGTCTGGGCCAATTTGGAGGGACTCGTCAGCCCCAAGTGCAAAGCCACGCCTACTCACGTGCCTCTTCCACCCCACCCCGAAAGTTGGGGCTTAGCTCACGTTCTGCCCGTCTCCAAAAACCTCGGCCGGACGGCGACGCCGTGGCCCCGCAAAGCCACCACAGCCTGAGGTGGAGCCCCGGCAGCTTTTGCCTGCTTACGTACACAAAGTGACGGGACCCAAGAGCCGCGCGCAAAAAGCCATACGCACGGTCCCCCCCCAGGTCCCACCACGTGCTCCTGGCCCCCGGATCCGGGGGTGAGGACCCTATTGAACCAATCAGTGTGTCCAATTACACCTCGTCCCAATGATCCCATAACCTTGAAGCCCTTTGTAAGCTGGCCCCTCTTCTTCGATGTGGAGATGGTTCACGGGAACAAGAAAGAAGGAAGAAGAATTAAATATTCGAATAAAATATTCAGAGGGGAAAAAAAAAGGGCAACATGTGAATAGTCACCAAAAAAAAAAAAAAAAAAAAAAAACCAAGATGGCACCGGGGAGACCCCCGATCCCACCCGCGGCCTTATTATGGAGTTGCATCCATAGTCCAGACTTTTGCTTTTGAAGCTGGCAAGCTGGGCAAGTTGGAGATTTCGCTGCATGCTGCAGCTGACCCAATTGAGAGTGCATCGAAACTTCGCTATGGTATTAAGTGCGAATAGCAAGCTTGCATTCGTTACTTTGCCGGTACATGTACTGCGTATGCGTAGTATGAGCCGCAAGGTAGTGTTAGGCAAATGGCCAAGAGCCATCAACCCGTCCCATCCCTTACCATCACCCCCTCCATCACCGAGTAGGAACCGAGATATTTTCGTCACCCCTCCACGGAAGTTGTGGATATACGTTGTATGAAAGAGAAAGAAAAAAAGATGACGCTTGAATTCCCATGAAACAAGGCATCGTTTCTTTTTCTCCCACCCCTTTGACTGCCAATCCTGCGTCCCCGCTACGGCCGTGTCTCCGCAACGCGCACCAGCGTTAGTAATCCAGGCTGATCCAATGGGCTGGCCCAAATGACCAGTGTTCCGGAGGTGGTTCCGATGCGGACGAGATTCCGCACTCTTGTCTCACCAACCATTCGATTGCATTGTTCCAAAAGCCTCAACAACACCCAACGATAACTTACCTAGTACTTAGCCCACATGCATCCATCGGCAGTCGGCAGTCTCTTCTTTTGACGTGCCAGATCTGAAGCGGGTATCCGATTTTCGACATCGGAAGAAGAGGCTTGGCATTATCGGATTGATATTATCCTGCTTGAAGATGGTTGTCGTATAGAGTTCACATCCGGAGTCGCAGCTATGCCAAGGAGGAATAGAAAACTCGTCGTATCTTTCCGGTTCCTATTATCGGCAACTGGGCAGGCTACTTACACGGCCAACGGCCAACGGCAACGGCATCAAGAATCGCACCCGGGACAGTCACATCTGGCATGCTTTTTTGGCCCTGGCTGTATTGTCCCAAATCTCGAAACTACCTCGGGCCTACTTTTTGCTTCCCTCGAACGCTTGATACTCATCTCGGACAGTCTAGATCCCGGGTCCAGAATCCCAACCACCACGAATAAGTCTTCAACGAAGAACCTGACATGCTAGGCTATTCTGAAAACCGAGTGGAAGAGGAGAATGTGGAGTTTCTTGGAGCCGTCTTAACAATCGGATTGGGAAACCAGAACCTCCCACGGTGGCTAAGTTGCACCCACGCAATCCACACCCATCGCCGACCCCGTTCAATGCCCTTTTTTTTTTCTTTTTTTCCCCCAAATTTCTCAGGCAGGCAAGCCTGCAGCGAGAAGGGATGGATGGGACGTGAACCAGTGAACCAGCGAACCAGCGAACCAGCGAGCCCAGAGCCCAGAGCCCAGAGCCTCATTGCAACTCGTTACGTCGCGGCGGGCGGTGTGCGCAACACACCCGCCGAACCCGTCTCCCACTTTGTGCAGTCTCGTCTCAACGAAACGCGCTCTCGTCTTTTTCTCCACAAAGACGCCGAGTTCAGCGCTGCTGCTACTGGACTCGGGGGATACTTACTTACACGCACACCTTACCATAACCCCTCCAGGAGTCCGGCCTCCTTTTCTCCAGTAAATACCAAGATTCTCCCCGTTGGTCTTCTCCTTTCTTTGTATAAAAAAGGAGAAAAAACCAAAAAAAAAAACCCGGAACAGAACCACAACCCGTTCAAGAAAAGAATCGGAGAAAAAAGTGCAAATCTTCAACTCCACATTGAGAAAGTTGGGGGGTTTCCAACTCCGATCTGAGGAAAAGTTGAAGGCCTTTTCCCACCTTAATGCTGGCTTTCGTTCACTAGGCCTTGTACTAGGACCGGGGCAGAACCTATAGACGTGGCGGGAGGAGGGTTTCTACAGCAAATCGCCTACTACGACCAGGCGCGGCGCAGCGCAGCGCATCACGCTCGCGTGGTATCTCTGAATATAACGCGTTCGAGAACTCGCAAAAGAAACCCACTTCTACAAGTTCGAGACTTCGAGAGAGCGCGCCGCCGACCGATGATAATTCCAGCGAATTTGATCGCGAAAACACTGCGACGTAACTGCAGTAGTGTCGAGACCGACCAAATGGGCAAACGCACGCCAATGCGCGTGAGGTGCCAGCAGAGTGGTATTGAAACCGCTAGTAGCTTCCAATTGGCGTTTTCTTCTACGCTATTGAAAATCGACTCAATGGAATGATGGTAAAACTCGTATCTAGAAAGTTCGGAGTGCGCGATGTCGATAGTCAGGTATCGTATCAGCAGCCAGCAAGTTAATTGACAATGATTCTTGTCGTTGCCCTCGATTGGGTACGTGATTATGTGAGGTGGACTGTAAGCAACGCTTTGCTTCCTCTAGATAGCTTCAGCACAGGCTTTTGCACATGTCAAGAGAAAGGATACGCCCAATCCCTCCGGGTGTTTGACATCAACGACGCAGCATCTCTGACGCTTTCCCCCCCCCCGCTGGGACGATGGAGATATGCAGTGGTCTGGGCGTGGAGCTTTCCATGTCTGTCCGTTCCATTTGGTCAGAGAATACCCTACACGTCGTTTGTATGCCTCTCACGGAACACCTACACATCTCTCAAATCCCAACAAACATCGGAAACACATTTCTCGTGACACGAATCTCTCTCTCTCCCCCCCCCCCCCCCCCCCCCCTAGATGATCAAATCGCAATCACTTGTCATCTTATCCTTTCCCTGCAATGTCATACCAGGTGAATTACCAGGAAAAGAAAGGGAACAAACGGCCATCCTGCGGCCGCCGCCTACCCCCTCACTCTCGCAAAGGACAACGCCACGATATCTTTAGCCAAAGACATAAAAGGCAATGTGCCCCGACAAGGTCCGGCGGGGCAGACAGGGCAGACAGGACTGCGAACAATGTAAGCAAATGAAATCGCATCCAAACCGGCAATGTGCCGTAGGCAGGTAAAAAAGAAAACGAGACGAACGAAGACAAAAAAAAAAAAAAAACCGCACAGCGGCGTCCGGGCACCTGGAGTCAAGCCATGAAGCCTCCCTACGACTGAGAAAAGACGATAAATAAAGCCTGTCAGCAGATCTAGCGCCTAGCTAACACCCCCTTGTGCGGCGTGTGGCGTGCTGCCCCTCCTCGAATTCCGCGGAATGCCGGGTGAGCAAGCCACGCGCCAGTCCCCAAATCTCTTTCTCTGCCTCGGGGTATCAAGGAACTGCGTTGATGGTACTGGTAGGAGAGACGTAGAACAATAAGATAGTTAGGTATTCGTGCGGAAAACGGCAGAGTGGCAGACGAAGAAGTATCGCAGCCTATTTTCCCCGGATTAAATGGTACACCTCACCAAAGGAAAAACAGACGTCAAATGTCGCAATCGTTTCCCCGGATCGCAAATACTAAAGGGAGATCCATCCGATGATTATGTGTTGCCGTTTAACACCAAAGGTCGGTATCCCACAACGCCAATGCCCCTCGACAAGGCCTTGCGATCCGGGCACCAGCGCAGCGTAGGTTAGACCAGGCGTTTACGCATCTAGGTACGTTTGTCCCAAATGTTTATTTCCCCCCCCCTTCCTCGAGAATTCTGTATCCCGTAGTGGACTGCCGATGTGGGTGTATGTGTCCTCTGCCCGTCCGTACCTCTGGGAATACCTATGCAAAAGCCAAGATCGACTCCTCACCTGACAGCCTCAAACTTTATCAACCCCCCTCCTCCTCTTCCTCACTACTGTGCAGGTAGGTACTCCCCCGCTTCCTCCCATCATAATCTACCACAGCAACAAACCACACATGATCGAAAACAAGATCCAAACAAACAACAGATGAACAAAACTCCCAGGAAAAGCAGAAAAGCCATCCCTCGGCAACACGCGGGCGCGGTACGGTACTCTAGCACGGTAGAACCTGTGTTCCACTGCCTTCCTCCCATATGTGTGTGTGTGTGTGTGTCGCTGTAGATGAACCTCAATCACAGGCCAAATACCTATCCCCATCCCTCAAATGTCCAGATAGTAAGAGTGAATCAATCTTACCCAAATTGCGCACAATGTTTAGCCCGCGCGGGTGTGGCAGTAAAAACCACTCCCTCCCATTGCAAAAAAAACAAAAAACAAAAAACAAAACACAGAGACAATGTAACCCGGTACCTCATCCGTACTGGATACCGGTATCGAAACCAGCAATAACGATACCGGCCACTTTCACATGTCCACGAAAGCGTCCGCAGTCGCAAAAATGCCAAAGCAACAAGACTCTGTACCATACTCCGTACACACGCGCTCTCCAGAAATCCAGCCCATCCTCAATGCGACTTGACTCTCCCTCTTCCTCTCCCCTCCCCTCCCTCATCCCCCCCTGGCGCAGCCCTAGCGTATCCCGCCGTCGCCTTGGGAATCCCCCATGTCAGCAATGGCCGAGCCCATGCGGTCTGTCTACCATTTCTACAGAGTACCTAAACAGATACCTAGGTAGACTGATAGAGAGAGAGAGAGAGAGAGAGAGCGCGAGTCTGCAAAACACCGACAAACGGGTTCTGCTTCCGGCCCCCGGGCTCGTGATGGACCGCAGCTCTAGCGTATCGGCCAGCGGTGGGCGCATGGGCTCGTTCGTCTGCGCTTCCACCCATCATCAGTCAGCAGCAGCAAGTCATCTGCGCCCAGAGGTTTGACTCAGTCTTTGGTCCTCCCGGTCGTGCCAGTCCATTCAAGGCCACGGCCTGCAGTGGGCGTCACAAGGCACATTGAATGAAGAAAGAAAGGATTGCAAGTGTCACTTTGATAAGACGAATGTTTGATTGAATGGCCAACTTTTATTCATGTTTATGCTAAACTCTTTTGACGATTTTGGTATTTTTTTTTTTGGTTCGTCGCAATGATCTTGCTTTTGTGGTCCATCTGCGCCGACCTTCTCGTGCGCTTTTTGTTTTTCAAACCAGCTTTTTCAACCCCCGTCCTGCCCTTTCGGCCGTTCTCGTGGGATATCTCCACTTTTGGTCTTCCACCACCCCAGTTTTTCTTCTCTCTCCCGTGCCTGGTCATCAGCATGCCCCAGTCAGTGTCAGGTCCTGCTGTTGAAGTCGCCTTCGGGCAATGCCTTCTGTAGATGTGTTTTCCCCTCCTGTTGGTCCTGTCCATAGAGTACAATCCACCTCTCAACTTCCGTACAAAACTTTCAAACAACCATGTAAATGCAGAGACCCAGGCCCATTGATAAAACATGAAGGTGGTATGTTGCGAAAACAAAACAGACCATGGTATCGTATGATGAAGAGACGCCGTGCAAATGTGTGAAAATTAAAATCAGGTCCAGAGGGCCCACCCCGAGGCCCAATGAATGCACCCGTGTCGTATCATGGGATTGACTAGTCCCAACTATGCGCGCCCATGATTAGGGTAATATGATGAATGGCAGAGCCGATGCGATGCCGCCGCGCGCAATGCAGTGTAAAAGCAACTAGAAACAGCTGTGCTCGAGCGGGCTCAAAGGCCACACGCTCGTCGGATATCGTGACAAGTGTGTGGTGTATGTGTGTAGTGCGGTAATGTGGTGTTATATATGGCAATGTGTAGATGGTTTACCATCCCTTGGAGTGGTAGCCTCCAAAGTTGTCCGTGTCCTTGGAGAAGTACTGGGGGTTGACAGGAGCGTCTCCATTCTTGAGGCAGACTTTCTCGGGGTACTGCTTCAGGTTGGCGACGTCGTGGGAGGTGTGACGTCTCTTGAGGACGGCATTGGCGGTAGACGACTTCTGCTGGCGCTCCCAGAGAAGGTTGCGGCGAAGAGACTCGGTCAACTCAGTCGCAAGCATGTTGCGACGGGTAGTTCGGGGAGACAGAGCAGCCTGGAGGTGGCTGTGGCTGGCCGTGGCATGAATAGGCTGGGCAGCCGACCGAGGCACCTCGTTGATGGGCTTCAAAGGAGAAGAGCGATTGCCGCGCTTCATCATGAGAGGGGCATCATCGGAGTCGTTGGGGGAGACGGCCAAGGTGGGAGGAGCCGGGTGGCTGGTGCGCGACCAGGGAAGTGCCGAGGTAGACTGGGAAGCAATGTTGCTAAGCTTAGTAGAACGGTCGTTCTGCTCTGTCACCATGAGTGTGATCAAGGAACGGCGCGAAGTCAAGTTGACCTTGGAGTCGACACGCTGGAAGAAGGTCTTCTCATCAATGCTGGACTTGTTGCTGTCCTCGATGGAGTCTTCCCAGTCGGAGGAATCGTCGTCGTCATCGATGGCGCTCTCATCGACGTAGTCGGTCTCCGAATCGTCGGCAATGGCAGAGTTGTCGTCGTTAATCATACGGGTGGAGACGTGGTCGGCGAAGGAAGTCGTCTTCTTCTGACCGCTGAGCAGGGAGCCGGGCTGGGAGGCGAGGGCACTCTTGAGGGAGCTGTCTTCCTCAGAGGAGCCGCCGACCTGGAACATCTTGCGCTTCTGGACAGGAGCGGGAATAGGTCTCAGGTTCTCGATGCTGTGGCCTTGCTCACTTGAGGAGCAGGACTCGCCAATGGAGAACATGGGCTGCTTCTTTGACAGGATGGGCTTGGCGGCGGGCGACGACTTCGGCTCGGGAATGGCGGCGGGAGAGATAACCTTGGGAGAGGCAGGAATGGCTCTGGGGATCTGGGATGGAGAGAAACCACGGACGACGGTGGTGCGCGAAGTAATTTCGGGTGAGGTCGGCTCTTGGGAGTGCTCTTCTTCCGATGACTTGCAAGGCGACTCGGTTGTGGTAGATCCGGAGTGCTCGTAGACGGGGGAGGCAGGTGCCAAGTCGGGAGTCTCCTTCATAGGAGGCATGTAAGGGGAGGCCATTTGCGGGAGAGGTGCGGACAAGGGCTCGTTCTCCTTGATAATGGAGACGACCATCTTCTCAAAGTCGCCGGAAGTGATGTGGCGTTCTTTGCCACGGCTGCGGTTGCTGGCGCAGGAGTCCTGTCTTTGGATTCTAGGGCGGATCTCGAGGGGTGCGGACAGTGAGGTGAAGTCGACCGCCTCGTCGTCGTTTTCTGAGTCGACACTGCCGGATAGTTGAGGAATATCTTGTATTCTGCTCGTTTGGGGGATCTCTCTGGGCAAGCTGGTGGCGGTAATGGAGGCTTGTTCCTCCTCGGTGCAGCAGAACGTTTCACGGTTCCACAATCGCCAGCTGAGGTTCTCTAACCTGCGGCCCTGTTCAACAGACTCTGCGCACTTGGCAAAGACTGGAGCCGTGTTAGTAGACGCGAGATGCGCGAGCTCCTTGGTAGGAGCAGTAAGGTTTGAGGTGCTTACCAGTCCACATGCTGTAGAGGTTCTGAGGATTTGAGGTGTCGACCTTGTTGATGACATTGGTGTCCACAGTCAGGACGTGCGTATCGAGAGGGTAAGGCATTGCGCCGAGGTAGTCTGCTCGAATTGAGCAGCTGGCGGTAGTCGGTTCCGGGTATATGGTGGTTTTTGAGATTGAAGCAACACCCAGTGTTGAGGGTGTGTTGGATTGGTTTGAGTAGGGCAGATTCGGCACCTGGAGCGAAGCGGGATCGATGTTGTCGAGATCGGCAATTAGGTCGCGGCTCGTGGTTTTGCGGGTGGCGGTCGAAGATGTCGACAGTAGAATGATGGGCACTATGTACGTCGAGAAATGATGTCGCTGAAGTGCTGATGCAGGCGTCGAGGTGCGGAAGGGCGAAGACAGGAATGCTTTAATATGATGGCGTGTACGGGAGGGGAATCCGGAGAATGCTGGCTCTGGATGTGCGGAGAGATGTCGAGTCGAGGGTCGAGATGTGCTTCTGGTGGAGCAATGAAGTAAAAGGAGAAGAGCAGGGTGGAAAGTCTGGGGGAAGACGGACGTTAATAATTATCGTCACCTCGGGCTTGGCTAGAGAGAGTTGAAAGATGTGGATTAGATGGCAGCGGAGTGGGATGCATGTAAGTAAGTATAGGTAGATGTAATGTGTGATGGGCAATGGGAAGAGATGGGGATTGGGGGGGGGGGCCGGACCAGGGGTGTGTGGAAGGGTGTAGAGGACGGGGGGGCGTGGGATATGTTGGCATGGGGGTGAGTCGCGGTGAGTAAGGTATATTGTATTTCCTCGCGCCTCCCTCAGCATGGGACAAGACAAGAGGGGAGGGAGGAGCGAGCAGGGGGCCCCGGCATGGGGCACCACCACCTGGTAAGAGGGAAAAAAGGAAGAAGGAGAGGAGGAAGAAGTGGGTGTGGGTGCTTAGGTGTGGGGGTGTGAGTGAGAATTGGGTGTGGAGAGGTACGTACTGCAAAATAGAGAGAGAGACCTTGGGACCTGAGGCCTTGGGTTGTGACGACGGAAATGTTGAAGCAAAGTGGAGGTACTCGGGTACAGGGCACAAAGTACCGCCGGTCGGTGGCTTTTCTCTTTTCCAGAGGGGCATGACCATCCCAGGGAGCCAGTTCTCAGTTACCAGGTAGGTATTCGTGCGGATATAGCATTCGAAGGATACTCAGGCCCTTTACTGACCTTGCTGCGCAGGTCAATGGCTATCACGCCCATCAGTCTCCGTCTGTCCTCCCAAGGTATGGATAGGATCTTCTGGTCTTCTGCTTGTGACGCTGGGCCTTTTCCCCAGTGAGTGGGTGATTCAGAATCAGGTCTAGAGCAGAAAGAAAGACTCAAGTCAGTCAGTCTTGTCAGTGTGTTCCATCCCAAGCAATGTCAGGGTGTCAGGGGTTCCGAACGTCCCTTTGCGGCGGTATCTCGGTACGTAGCCGAATGTATAGACGCAAGACTCCACGAGACCACAGAACGCAGAAAGAGCGCGGAACAGCAGTACCAGCAGCAGCCAGCAGCAAGACAGTCACGGGTGCGCAAAGAGACCTTCTGGGACGGTCAACGACACAGGGATACGTACAAAGGGCAGCCCAAGGCCCAAAGGGAAGGGGGTCGACGAGGTCCAGAAACTTGTCGTTCGGGGAATTTCGGTACACTGCCTGGACGGGGGAAGGCGTGGTGGCTCCCCCGGAGTTCGAGAGGGAGGGGGTGGGGTGGGGGGCCAGGAACGTGAGCTGTCTTGACTCTTGAGCGTCCTTTCCTGAGGTTCCTAGGATACGTATCTGTCTGTAGGTACTCCGTCCTCTCTGATGTACCTAGAGAGACAGCAGCTCCCTTATTCTCGCCGTGAACCAAGCCTAAAGGGGCATCATAGGGCAATGGCGCTGAACCCCATGCGGCAACCCAACGCGCAATTTTGGGAGCACGGGTGACCCAAGATACTTCCCCTTTTGGAATGGTGTCTCTGACTCAAAGCCAATCCATATTAGGCAGTACTCCAGTCTCCGTTGAGGCGGCAAAACGTCGACGGTCAGCTGTCCGCTCTCCCCCCTCCGTTCCGTCCTCCACGTCTTCCAACTTTTCCCTCCAGGAACGAAAACTTTCAATTGGGGACCTGGGGCCTGGCGTCAGCTTGTTCATCCATTCGGCCCAGGCCCAGCTCAGTCCGTTGAATCCACTTCCTCTCCACGTTCAGCTCCACGGACGCCCTTGCCCACGGGACCGTTTGGGTCATGTGACGGGAGGCTTTTGGCCGTCTTCGTCGCGTCGTCGCGGCGTCGCCATCGCCAGGTCCGTTGGATTGCCGCATTTCTTCCCGTCCGTCCGTCGTCCTATCACCGTCAGCACCTCGGCCATTCCAGACCAGACTACTCCGTATCGACATGCCAATTCATTCTCCATACCGGGTCTCCGTCACGGTTCTGGATCTTGGGGGCACGGAATCTTCGTACGTACGTCGAAAAAGAACGGAGACCTTGCTGTGCGGAATACGGGGTTTCTGTCACCAATCCTCAGTGGCTAAGTCGTCTGGCCGAATATGCGCCGCGCCTCATCTCCACGTTTTCCATTCAAAAGTCTCCATCGGCCTCGTCTCGACCTCCAAAGACTCCTCCACAGGCTCAGGCTCTTCTCCACACCTCACCTCCGTCCGGTCCTCCGTCGCGTTTTTTCCGTCAACCGTCATTCGGTACCTGACCGAATTGCCCGTACACTGCCCAAAGGGGATAAGCCAGTGATCTGCTACCTAAAGAGGACTGGCGCACCTCCTGGATCTACCGTCCTGCCGGCACTGTTCCCCTTCTGGCATCCTCACAGACCGCGACGGCCTAGAACGAATGCAGCCTCGACAGCTCGCTGCCATTTACAGCGATTTCCGTCTGGTCACTGGTCACGAGCCGCCGTGCCTCTTCCCGCCGAAACGGATCGCCGTCCAGCTCCGAACCGTGAAGGCAACGTCCATCAACGCCCTGTCCCTGTCGGTCCCTGTCCAGCTGCTCACCTGCCCTGCGGCCTCGTTGCTCTTCTCCGAACCTGGGGGGAGGAAAAAGACTTGTCCTGCCAGAGGCAAAGGGTGCCTGACTCCAGAGTCCCTGAGAACGGAGGGGGGACAACGCACAAGGAGACCACCAGAAACGCTCGACTCTCGACTAGTTCGCCTGGTTCTACTGTGCCCGTGACTTCGGACCAACCCAAACCGACGCTTTCTCAATCGTTAAGGATACTTCGCGGCTTGCCCATCCTTTCCGTCGGGACGACCGCCAATCGCTTCCCCGGAAACCCCCTTTTGACTCTTGACGTCCACCAACTGGGGCCAAACAGATGCCTGGATTCCGAACGTTCAATTTCCCCAGCATTCGTTGCCGTCCCTGAAGTCCGGATCACGAGTCGCAGGTGTCGCTGCAAATACAGTGCTCCGTTAATTGGATTGCCATGGCATTGTCACCACGGAGAGCGACTTGTCGCAGTTCCTCTTCCACTTTGAGCATCTCCAAACCTACGGATACCACTGCTGCGACACCTTTCGGGACGAAATCCGGCTTGCTTCACGGAAAGACAAGTATAGGCGCAAGATTGAAGGGAGACATCCTTCGGCAACTCGCAGTGCCCGTCTGTGTCCACGGGACTATCTCTCATGGCGGCTGCATAGCCCTCGATAGTGTCGACTTCTCTATAGTGAGTTGGCACCAAGCAGTTTGCTTGGGCCCGGACCCGCGACGGTGACAAGGTCAATTCGTCGTCGCCAAATTTGGTTGCGAACGAATCGGCGACGTACCGTCCTTCAGCGCTGACACGGCGATGTGACATGCTCTGACCCCCTCGCCGGCTTGCGACTTTGCTGCTTGACTGGTTGCGGCAGCGCGTCTGCGCTCGCCCCAAATCGACCCCGTGATGATGTCCATCGTTTAGGTCATCAACAAATCCTGCCGCTTGTCGCCTGTCTGCCGCCCGCCCACGAAGCTCAGCCCTCGTGAGGCGTCAGTAATGACAAGGGACGGCAATAACAACGGTCACTGTCAATGTTGATCGCAAGGAGGCATCCTATCTACAGACATGCACATCAGCCAAGCAGCAACTTGGAACCTGGCATCGATGATGAACTCACCCGCCTTGCTTGCTCATCGCCTCATTACTTACCCCGCGGTTGGTTGCCAGAATGTCATGGGATCCAGTGTTCATCAACTGGCTGACCAGGGGGTCGGGGAGAGCAACAGGCAAATGGGCGCTTTGTGGGCTCTCCCGCGCCCCGGAATGAGTTGTTCTTCTTGCTCACGAGAGACACTTGTGCCAACTCAGAGGTCAAAAGAAGAAGGTCAAGACGTATGCAGTCGGTGTCAGAAGGCATGGTTGAGACTCATCAGTGACGACAAAACAGCGTGCCAGACCTTCGTTGAACCTTCGAGGCTTCTTTGGTTCCTGAACCAGGCGAGACATTCGTTCCCAAACTCTCAAGCCCCGGCATGGGGCAAATGGTCACCAGGCCCCAAAAAGTGCCTCGTCACAGCACCTTGGGGGAACTTTGGGGAGGCTGCAATTGGACCCTTGAAACGTCACATTTCCTCCAATGCAGTTGCTGGAGATTGGCGTTCATCTCACCTCAGATCGTTTTTCTCCCACTGGACCACCAACAAAGCCCTACAATTCAGAGTTTCGGGCTTTCAGGCTTTCAGGCTTTGGTCATGGTCATGGTCCATGTGCTTTACTCATCGCGCAGTGACCGCCGCTAGTTTGGCAACTCACATTCTCAACTCAACGCAAAAGCAACGTTTGTCGTTCGATTGGGACCTTGCTTGACAACAGTTTGGTCAAGTGACGGGTTGCCTCTGGAAGCCCAAGTTAAGCCAACGCCGACAACCCCACGCCTCGTTACCGTGAGGCAAACACTGCAGCCGGGGGGGGGCTGCAGCCACCACTGTCACTCTTTTCCTCTTTTCCCTCACCCTGAAGCCGCGCCACGCCTGGCATCACGGCGACCGTCAGCGCGGGATGCTAGTTCGGTGGGAGCACCCGTCCGTCCGTCACGGTTGGCGGAGCGGCCAGTACCCCTACTCTCCGTGGTCATCTGTCACCCTTGAGCCAAGGTGACTGGAGGATATTGGCTTGCCTATCTTGCTGTATCCTTGAAGGTTGAAGCCCGACGTACACGGCACTTTGATACGGGGGTTTCGGCGCCATCGTCGATGGGGAGCTCCGCCCTCGTCAAGCCCAAATTGACAATGGCAGAGTAAAAGAATATCTACCAGGGGCACTTGTCGTGAGCGCCGTCAGCTTGGTGTTCGCTTCGCAGAAAACGGTCTCCGGGGGACCACGATATCGCTTCCGCGACCATCTAACAGTCCCGAGGGCGCGGTAATGTGGTAATCATACGTCGTGTGGAGCTAACGGGAAATGGACAGGCCCTATCATCCTGCTCCAACTTCCCCCGACAACGGACAGGGAGACAAGACGGAGCCCGCGAGTAACATGATCGTGAGAAGACGCGAACATGGTGACGATCATACGAGGCAGGAGAAGGAAAAAAAAAAAAAAAAAAGCGTTGTCCTGGCCCTGCAGAGATGCGGATATCGCTTGCGAATATGATGATATGCGACACGAAGCCAACGGCGCCGTTTGAGCTTTTTCGAGGAAGAATCAACTCGATCCTTCCCAAACTCCCGGATGCCGGTGTGCATGGGTTCTAAGATGAAGACCACGGCCCAAGCCATACTCGAACTGGGTACCCGGTGAGCATTCAATCGACCGATGGCGCGACAAACAATTGTCGGTCCCGACTCCCAAGTTGCGCCTCGAGCCGGGGGCATACGAATAGTGTACGAAATAGACATGGCCAAAAAGATGAGACGGGCTTGGTTCCAACAACCCGGATTGTCGGTATCGTGGGATTGTCAGGAGTGTCGTTAAACTGACTGTTGGTTTTCCCCCCTCGGCTACGATTACAAGCCATGGCGTTGCGAGTGTGCGACAGGCCAACGGTGATGGGTGAAGACCGATATCCCATGGCCCATGCCATCATTCACACGAGGACGGGGCATTCACCTGAAGTTGACCTCGGCCGGGGTGGAGAGGGGGGAAGCGGCCCGGTTCTGGAAGACCAACTGATGCATCCCAATCAAATTGACTTTGCTACACCTGGCCACCGGTAGAGGGATTGGGAAGGCGATAAATCACACAAAAATCCCAAGAACCGGGGACAGCGCAGACCTCTCCTCCACTCATGCTCCACTGCTCTTGTGGTTGGTTGGGCGCAACAGAGAGGAGAAAAAATGGTACGCCTCCTCACCTCGGCCTGGCTCGCGGTACTTCTTCGCTTCGCCGCACACAAACCCAGGTCCGCCAAGGTGGGGAGAAGCCTGTGAAGGTGAAGAGGTGTGGGAGTTGGAGATTGGAGATTGGAGAGGGGGGGGGGGGGGGGGAACTGCATGGTTTCTCGAGCAAACGGGTCCAACAGCCATCTCCAACAACGACAATTACGACATGGTCCCCTCTGACTCTCTCTTCTCTCTCAAAGGTTCCCAGGGGACTGGACGACGACACCCATGATGAGACGAAAAGGGCCGGGTCCCCGGTTCACTTGACTTTTGACCTCACATATCTGATTATTATTATTATTTTGCTCTCTCTCTCTCTCTCTCTCTCTCTCTCTCTCTCTCTCTCTCTGCTGGTCACTGTTTGCGCACGCCTTGTCGGCTACAGCGAAATGATACGTCGCATCGGCCGAGAGATCTGGAGCATAGAGTTTGTGCCTAGTGATCCCTACGGCGCCTCGGCCCTCAGCTCTGGTAGAGATGGGTGGTAAGTACTCCGTAACAGTGACTGATAATATCATCGCCAGCCTGCGGATACAAGTACGTAAGGGGGGACTGTTGGTGGTGTTTACACTCGAAAAAATGGCAGAGAACGGAATACCTACGGATAGGTGTGTGTGCCTCTTCCATCCAAGACGCGATGCAGGGGGTTGTCAATCGGGCTTCCACAACGGGAAAGCAATGTGGGGGGGGGGGGGGGGGGGGAGGGAGCGTAGGTTCTCGGTAGGTCGGCGGCGGACGGGGCCGCTTCCGGCGCGCTGGGCCCCGAACTCTCTGACAGTGAAGCACCAGGAAGGAATTGCGGAATTTCCTAGGCCGCCCGCGGCCGGGTCAGCTGGTGATGTCCGAAAACGCAAAGACTTTGGGAGCTCCGTCTTTGGCGCGGTGTAAGTACGAAGTACCATTAGTTTTCGCCAAGGTGAAGCTGGCTCGAATTGCGCAACCATCGTGCTTAGGATGCGCGGGATGCATTTACCGAATTTCTTGGGATAATTAGGTGATGTGAGTCGACTATCGCGCGGTTCGACGGCGTTCAAACATCACGATCTATTTCTTGGGAATCTTTGGTGCGTTTGCGTGTTCGTTTGTTTGGCATGTATACGGATAGAGTCCGCTTCTCCTGAGACTTCATCTTGTCCTGCTTGTTGCGTTCAGATATTTCCTGGGGCTTGATGAAGATTGCAAGCATATATTCCATCGTCTACACTACTTGACGTGGCTGAAGGCGGCGGTCAGATGCGCAAAAATTGAAGTGCAAGATGGAAAAGCCCAGCGGCGGCTCGCGGGCCGGCGACTCTTCCGTCCGAAAAGGGATGGGTGACCGACCCCCACGCGCGCAGTTTGACAAAGTTCTCTCCCTCCCAAGTTGCAGACGTGCAAACTGCCCTCCGGCTCCGGGGCGGCCACCCCCCACGTGCGCAACAGGCTTGGTACGGATACCTAGGAGCCATATGGCATTGGTACCAGAGGCTGCACACCAACTTCTTTTGGGACCCTTGGTGTCGGGTGTGGGTGGTTTGAATGTAACCACACGGGCATGGCTAAAGTCCCCCCCTCGCCCATTTTATTGTAAGAGGTTTTGCAAACAGGCGCGGACACACACACACACACACACGCATGCAGACCTATCGGAGAGGTAATCTGGGCGGTGTACGGATACGGTGTAGGGAGATGCTACGTGACGGCGTAGAGGCTTGGAGGATCTTATCGTGAGCCATGGAGATTAGAGGGGGGGGGGGCTTCTTTGCTTCCTTCGAGAAGGGTTTCCGGCTTGGTGAGTGTTGGGTTGTGTGGGGCGAGGACGAGGGTGAGGGTGTTGATGAGTTGAAGCCGGAGATGCGAAAATCTAAAGGGCAAGGGGATGGATGTATCATGGAATGGTGAGATATTTCCAGCATCGAGTAGTTCTGCACGTGGGGGGAGAGTTCCGTAACTCGATCCTCCTTGATAAGTGCCGCGCTCGTTCTTTTTACTATTATTTGTTGATTTACTTTGCTCTCTCATGGAGTGAGGTGGGATATCATGTTCACGGTATCCCGTGTTTCATGCAATAGTCCAAGCTACGGGGTGTGCGGGTCCACTAGGCTCTTCTCGACACCGAGGGAACATTCATAGGTTTGGTATGTACGGATACTAATCGCTTGGGAAACGGGGGAGCTGATATCGCCATGGCCGCGATTATGTCGATGCCTCTTGGGGGGTCTACCGTAAGGTAAGGGGAGTTTGGTGTAGTTGAGATGCTGTGCCTGAGCGGCGTGTTACCTTGCGTACCAGTCGTGGTCCACTGAGGGCGGGTGAGGAAAACACGTGGGGATGGTGATTTGCCGTGTTGTTATCATTTACAAAACGGTATCAGACTTTGTTTCTCTTTCATCGATCGGTAATTTTCTCTCTTTCTCTTTGCGTGATCTTGCTAGTCACATTCACTTGATACGTACATGTAATGAGGCATGTTCATTAATAAGGCGGATACCGGCCGATTTGGAGATTCCGACTATCCTTGAACTGGCGTTTGGCGCGGAGGAAAAATTCAAAACCATGAGTTGTTCTATCACAACTCAGAAGATGATATTGTCTTGCCAGCATTTTTAAACTTTGAAAGGGTTAAAAATCATGATAAATCTGGAAACCAGTTTCAGAGGATGCATGCAAAGCTGAAAGGGAACACTATCCGTACAGATGCATTCACGTCGTCAAACCGTTAATGGATGAGGCCCCCGACGATCCGGGGTTGCTTTGGCACTTCACCGACGATCTTTCAGCAGAGGTTGAAGACCCCCCCCCCCCCGTCTGGCGGTTTGGCGCGCAGGGAGAACGGGAGGAGGAAAAGCGGCGGCGGCGGCGGCGGCATCGGTAACGGCAACGGCGTATGATGTTGCATTTTGAAGTGACGATCTTTACGCATTCTTTTCGTTGTGATTTAATGACGGCCCCGACGGGAGAAGCTTAATGACTAGTAGACTCTTTGCGCAGTACACTATGGATAGAGTGACAGATTGATAGAGCAATAGAGTTGATGATTGCGTAGGTACGTTCACGGTTCGTTCCGCCCTTCCCCCCTCCCGCTGTCAGATTTTGTTTCGGGAATGCTCAGCTGACCTTCCATCTCGTCATTTGTGATGGCGAGTCGCGCGGGACAGGCCTGAGTTCTTTCTCCACCCGCGGAGAGACTGGCGAGCTTCCCCGGAAGACAAGGGGGGGGCTTTGGCTTTCTCATCTTGGGATCGTCTTTGCGGTTTGTGTGGGATGTCATTGGAGGAAGTGGTTATTTTGAGAGAGGAGTTTGGATGGGGGGTTTGGAGCATTCATTACTTGAGGGGGGAAAACTCCAAACGGCGAACGGTTTTTTCTTGGGGGCATTGAGCAGGGCAGGCGTGGGCATGGGTAAAATTCGATGAGATGCAGCTGGGTCCGTGTCCGCGGTACGGACGTTATGCGCGTGTGCGCGTGTGCGCGTGACGGCAGACCAGGATGAGTGCAAGTTGTTGTGTAGGAGTGTGTATTTTCTTATTTCAGTAAACCGTTCTTCTGGGGTTGCGACGGTGGAAGTTCTGTGTGAGTGGTGTGGGAGGGAGTCGTTGATTCGAGAATGGCTTCACGCTGCTACGTCTAAGTCTGCGGTTTGTGGATAGTCCCCAGTAG